TGACTCTCTGTTTGGTGTTTCTGCAGAGTTGAATGAACTGTAGAACACGTGCGGTTGAGTATCGGAGTCGGTCCCAGTTGGAGAACTTCGCTGGATCAGGTAGACCTTCGGCAAGCCTCAATCTTCTTTTGTTGCTCACGTAATGTGTCCTTTCTTCGTCGGAAGGTTCTTCCGCTGTTGCTCTTGTGGTTTCTGTCGGCCAGAAGTCTTCTGTTAGGTATAAGAAGTCAGGCCCTTTGAACCATCGATGTTCTTTATTAAATGCTGCTGGTACGTCTCGTGTGGCGTCGTCCGCCACGTTCAGCTTTGTCGGAACCCAGCGCCAGTCGTTAACTTTGGAACTCTCTTCTATTGCTGCTAGACGGTGAGCCACGTAGGGCTTATATGAACGTGACCCTGTCCTTATCCAGGTTAGTACTGTCTTGCTGTCTGTCCAGAATACTTTGCGGTCAGGTTTCCTCTCGTGTTCTTCGACTACTGTTTCTGCGAGCCTGGTGCCCATGACTGCTGCCTGTAGCTCCAATCTTGGGATGGACGTCAGTTTTAACGGTGCCACCTTTGCTTTCGCCACAATAAGGGATAGGTGGACCTCGCCTACTGCTGTTACAGCTCTCCAAAAGAGGACCGCAGAATAAGCTGACTCGCTGGCATCGCTGAAGACGTGGAGTTCTAGGGAGGCCGCGTCACTGTAGTGAAGATATTGTCGCGGGATTGCTATTTCGTGGAGGCCTTCCAGATGCTCCATCCACATTTTCCACTGCTCTGCCAGGTCTTCGTCGATCTTGTCGTCCCATGCTGTTCCTCTACGCCAGACTTCCTGGAGGAGTTGTTTTGCCCTGATGGTGATAGGCGAGGCGAATCCGAGCGGGTCGAAGAGCGACATCACTATTCTCAGTGCTTCCCTTTTCGTCGGCTGCTTCCCTTCTAGGAGTGTTGAGGGTATTCTGGCTAAGTTGAGGTTGAAGGTGAGTTCGTCCGAGTGGATCTTCCAAACAACACCCAGAACTCGTTCCATCTTTTCTTCTGTTTTGTAGAGTTCCATGTCTTCTGTCTGGCTGTCTTCTCCAAGTGTTTCTAGGAGTGATGCTGAGTTTGATTTCCACTGTTTCAACTCGAAGCTGGCTTTCATGTGCACGGCTCGTACACTCTTCGTGATGCGTTTGGCATCTTCGAGGGTTCTGAAGCTGTCCAAGTAGTCGTCGACGTAATGCTTCATTATGATGGCCGCTGCGGCTTCTGGGTGAGTTTCCCCGTGCTGTTTGGCGTTTAGGTTCTTGACGTATATTGCTGTCGAAGGCGAACTCGATGCTCCGAAAATTAATGATGTCATTCTGTACTCTTCCGGAGGTTGGTTGTCTCGTCGAATCCCACGCCATAGGTACCGCAGTGCGTCCCTGTCTTGTTCTCGCAACTTGACTTGCATGAACATCTCTTTGATGTCCGCCGTAACCGCGATCATGTGTTGTCGGAAGCGCATGACGACACCTGGTAGCGATTGTAGTAGGTCGGGCCCTTTGAGTAGCATGTCATTAAGTGCCACCCCTTTGGTCTTGGCTGCGGCATCGTGTACCACCCGTAATTTCTCCGGTTTCATTGGGTTGACTACTGCAAAGTGAGGTAGGTACCAAGTTTTGTCAGCTGTCTTCTGTTTTGGGGCGGGTTCGGCGTACCCCTTTGCGACGAGAGCGTTCATTTGTTCCACGTATTTCTTCTTTAACGTGGGGTCACGATCGATCTTCTTTTCTATGTTGAAGAGCCTCTTCAGCGTGTTTTCGTAATTGTCTGGTAACTTGACATCGTCTTTGCGCCAGAGAAGACCGGTCTGGAATCTTCCTTCTTCTGTCTTCGTTGTGGTCCTTTCCAAGATACGAAGTGCTTGTTCTTCTGGATCAGTCTTCGGTCTCTTGGGCTTTATACAAAGTGCGTCCATCTCGAAGTATCGCTTCACGAGGTCTTCTAGATTCTCCTCTGGATCTTCTACGATGTGTGACACGAAATCGATGTTCCGTCCGAAGCTTCGTGTCTGGCTGCCGTGGAGTACCCAACCTAGTGGCGTGAGAGATGCCACTGGGTGGTTCTTGTATCCTTTTCTTACTTCCGATGTCAGCAGAAGATGCCAGTTATCTTGTCCGATCAGCACTCGTGGCTTGGCGTTTGCATATGTGAGATGTCCTTGGATATCAGAGAGGTGTTGACACTCCTCCACTAGATCCTGTGGGACCCGTTGAGATGAGACTTGCAGGTTCTTCACTGTGCGTGCTTGTATTTGTTCTTCATGATCGTTGAGCCCCTTTAGTTTGATGGTGACTCTCCTCGATGCTGACTCCGATACTTTCTTGTCGTTGATGGTTTCTATCTTCAGTGGGTCTATGGGGCCCGTTGCTCCGACGCTTGTTACTATACTATCGTCGACGAGCGTGACTGTTGAGCCGTCGTCCATCAACGCGAAGGTGTTGACAGCTCCTTTTGGTCCTTTGACCTGGATCGGTAGGATTTTTAAGTATGATTGCTTCTTGACGGTCCAGGTTGAGTTGATGACCTCTGTTGCCCCTTGATTTTCTTTTGCTTCTGAATCTTCTGACTTCTTTTCGTAATGCAGCATCTTGTGGTGAGAGTACTTGCAGCAGTTGACATTACATGGCTTGGGTCGGCAGTGGTGTGTCTTGTTCCTATAGCGAAGACACCTGAAGCAGAGGCGCTTGGACTTGGCCATGTCCCATCTTGCATTTGCATCTAACTTCTTGAATTGTTCACATTCTGTGGCGTTGGTGTGCCCCGTATCTTCACATACGACGCATCTTGGTATGTATGTCTTCTCAGTCACGTTGTTGATCCTTTGAGTCTTCCTTTGTGGTGCGGCTGTAATAGGCGGTGTCATCTGTTCGGGCAGCGCGTAGGGTCCACACAGTTCTGCTTCCCTTTTGAAGAACTTCTCTATCTTGATGAGGCAAGGGTCTTCACGTGGCTGCATGGCTGAGAAGTCGTAGTACCTATAACGCAGAGTTGGCGTCAGTTTGTCTACTATTGTCTTCGCGAGTTCAGGATTGTACATGTAGTTAAAACAACCCAAAGTCTTCAGTGTCGCCACTACGTTGGAGATCTTGGTGGCGAATATGCATATGTCTCTTGGTGACTCAGTAAGGCGCGGCAGACCTCTAAGCGTCTCCATCTCCAGCATGGCTATTGACTCTGGTCTTCCAAATCTTGACTCCAAAGTCTTCATTACTTCAGCCGGGTGTGCGTTTGTCATAAGTAGGCCTTCAACTGCTTCCTTGGCCTTCCCTTTCAAGTTTCTTCTGAGTCGATTCGTATTTTCAACTACGCTGAATGTCGCTTCTGTCTCGTAGTAGGCGGCGCGAAAGGGTAGCCATTCCTGATGCGACCCGCTGAAGAATGGTAACTCGACGAACTTAGGTCGTTGGGCGGCGCTGACAGCCCGAGTGATGGCTTCAGCCAGGAGGGCTACGTCAGTTTGACCTCCCGCCGGTGACTGATGTGTTTCTTCGTGCCTTGGTTCTTCTGCGTGGGCGGCTGTTGGTTCTTCTATGGCCTGGTGAGGTTCGTTGGTGATTGCTAACACCGGGCGATTCACTTGATTCTCCAACCAGTCGTCCACTCTTGTATTGACTTCTGATCTTGAGTAGAGGGATGCGTCATCTTGTTCTTCCTCCTCCTCTTCTGAGTCTTCCCTTTCTAAGGCAGCAAGGCGTGCTGCGGCTAATTCCACTTGAAGGCGTAGTAAATCTTCTTTCGCCTTTGCAAGCTTGAGCTGCTTCGTTCTACTGCGTGTAGATCCCCCTCCACCTCCCTTCTTGCTGGGCGGGCGGGGTTCCTGTAGCCCGGTTTGCTTTGATGGACCGGCGGTGCTTCTTATGGCTCGCTTCACTGTAGAAGTTTCTGTTTCTCGGTGAGTTGCTCTGGTGACAGTAGCGGGCGGCTTCATCAGCTGTTTGGCCTTCGCACCCGCAGTTAGTGTCGTCGCCGCGGATGGTGTTACGGAAGGAGCGACGGCGCTGGCGGGGTGCGTGGCGGGGGTGGCGGTTGCGGCTGAGGCTGAGGTGGCGGCGGACGAAGTGGTCGCTGCGGTGGCGGAAGTCACGGTGGATGGATCAGTCGCCGCGGAGGTGTCTGTATACTCCGAAGTCTCCGTGGCGGTCGTCCCTGTAGCTGTTGATTCCGTACTGGCTTCCGCACTGGTGGTACCGGTCGCCGAGGTGGTAGCCTTGGACGACGACGGCTTGCTGCCCCTTCCCTCAGAGCGCGTAACGGCCATGCTGTTAGCTGACTTTTTCTTCGAATAATCTTGAGTCTTGAAAAACGATTTCCGAGGAGTCTTCTTAATTATTTTTCTTCAGGTAATTATTCCCCACAAGATTCGGCTGGCGAAGGACCATTAAATGTGCCCTACAGGCACATTTGTGTGCTGGATTGGTGGAGAATAAAACCGCTGTGATATTTTTCTTTCTTCTATATTTGGTGTTTTCCTTGAGGTAGCTGGCCGCCGACTGTGTCGAACGACGAAAATCGCCCCTCTTTTATACCGCCTCGGGCTGGGTCAATGGATACGGCCGACGCATCGTACAAATGGCGTCGACCAATCAGCGCGAGGCGTGACAGAGCAAGTGACGATGCTGAGTCCCGTTACATTGTTTGTCTTAAGCTAGTTCTATATTTTACTGAGTCATTGTTTACATTGTTTACCTTAAGCTAGTTCTGTTATACAAAGTGACCAACTAATTTTATTACACAAATATAAGCTCTACACTATTATTTTCTTAACATAAAATGCTTATATCCTATCTAAACTATAATCTCTATTAATATAAATGTTTATCCTATCTAAGTACAAACTAACTATATAATATTTATTCCATTAATATAAATGTTTTTGTCTTATTTATGTATCACTATTTGTTTTTCTCTTGTCCCGCACAGTTATACTGTTTTGTAATATAAATTGACTCAGTCATAATATAAATTTCTTTGTTTTTTTTCATCAGCCTTTGAAGCCGCAGGAAGGTGAAACATTTGTCGATTGGTTTTCTCGAAATAAATCCATTCTGGAGCAACAACATCCAGACTTAACGCCTTCAGAATTGACACGTCAATGTATTAGAACATTCAAGAGTGTGCAGAGTAAAAATTGTGTAAACGGCGAAGGAGCGCAGAAGAGAAAACTCGAAGAGGAAAGTAGTGCAGATTCCCCCATTGCTAATGCTCCAAAGCAATCCAAACTTAGTGCTTTCGCGTTTCAGAAAAAAACGTAATTAGTGCCTTTTAATGAATTAAGTGTTTATATTAAAACTGTTTAAGTGATTTTCTAATAAAGTAGTACTAACTTCATACAGTAAATAAGTAAGGATTTGCATATTTCGGAAATTAAGTAACGAGACTGGTATATAAAATGTTTTTTATTTATTTGTACATAATTTTATCAAAAGACGTGAAATAAAGTATGTATTACAGTTAACATGATGGTTTTTTAAGCATTTGCTAGTTCAGCTTCATCGGGCGGCGAAAATAATCCCTCCTCGAACATTCGCTGCCACTCGCTGCCATTGGGGTAAGCATACTTTTGTAATGTTTCCGGCAGAAATTGCGTGCTGTATCCGGGTAACTGAAAACAAATTACCTTTACTGTTATTTCTAGGAATTGATACTTACTACATAGAAATTTGCTAATATATAAGGGTTATTTTTCAAAGAATAGCCAAATTTTAAACTTAAGTTCAAGTATATGATATACCGTTACTGCAGTTTTTGAAAATACAAGTAAATAAGGCTTCTACTTTTATTTGAAATTATCCTAAATTGAATGTGATTTATGGGCAACAACTACGCGTTCGCGCGCTCCTTTGTGTGCGATTCAATACACATCGTTTTTGCCGACCGATCGAACCTTACAAATATGTGCGCGCGTAGTAAAATACTAGGCGTTAGATATTTATGAATGACAATCAGTTAAAATAATGCATTCTCACGCATTTTAATTTTAAAAGATAAAAAGGGCAGAATGTTTGAGATTTTTTTAAATAAATTTTTCTTCACCATTTGCCTTTATTACTTATCCTGAACCTTCTCAGAAAATTTGGCCGGTTATTAAAAAATTACCCTGTATATATCCTAAAAATATGCGAAGTCCGAGTTATGATACTCTAAAGGAACTGTTCCGCAGTGCAGATTGTCCATAATATTATGAAAATGTGCACGGCGATTAAGAATGACATAGAAATTAAAACGTTTCAAGGATAAGTGAATTCCGACAACACTCATGACAGCAGCGTAGCGAGCACTTCCTTGCTCTGCTGTCTCTGCATATGCGAAAAACCAAAAGGTTGTGCAAAAGGTTAGAAAACAAACATACATATTTTACTATCTTACGGAGTTGTACAAGTTTTTAAAAACCAAAAGGTTGTGCAAAAGGTTAGAAAACAAACATACATATTTAATATCTTACGGAGTTGTACAAGTTTTTACTTTAATTTTAGTTTTAAAGATACCAATATAAAGCGAATTTGTCGTATTTCGACTAAACAGAGAAAAAATTAATTGGAAAAAAAACAAACATATTATTGTAGATTGTTACAAACCAAGACGGAAAAAGATTAGAATTTTTTATACATAGTTAATATATACAAATAGAATAACTGAGATAAGTAAACTTACTTTGGGTGCAATATATCTCGCATTCTCCACTATGCAGGGGTCGTAGAAATGTTCATGTTGTTGGTCCACATACTCGATAAGACGACCTTCCATAGTGCCGGAGAGACTCGCGAAGTCCCAATATTGTAAATGTTGTACCATTTCACACAGGCCTACTCCTCCAGCGTGGGGACATACCTTTACTAAGATAATATATTATATTTTCAAATAAATAAAATTCACGTTCATTCAGAGATAGATATTTTCTTTTAAAAAATTTATATAATTATTAATTAGTGAGTTATGAACTTAGGCCCAATTACACTGCCGCATAACGGAACGGAAGCGAATTTTTGTAACGAAATTGTACATAGTAAAATGAGTTTTATGTTAACTGTATAAGGTTCAAACTAGATATGAATCAAAAAAGTCGCGCTAATTTCGTGGAATTCTCGAAGATTCCCCTAGCTACTCTTGCCGCAGTCTGTGGAATCCGCGGGAAGCGGCGCGAAGGTTATGGAATCCGCTGGAAGCCGGGAAGTGGCACTCGCAGCCACTTAGTTGGCTTCGAGGCGCAGTCGCGGGAAGCCGCGCGTCGAGACGAAGCTGACGCTTCCATTCCGCCGCAATGTAAATTGAGCGTTTCAGTCCACCTATGGATCATCATTATCATCATCATTACAGCCTTTCATAAGTCCACAGCTGAACATAGGCCTCCCCCAAGGAATGCCACAAAGCACGGTCCTGAACCACCTGCATCCATCGACTTCCTGCATGTCTTACCAGGTCGTCACTCCATCTAGTGGGGGGTCGCCCTACACTTCGCCTACCGGTACGAGGCTGCCACTCGAGAACCTTTCTTCCCCATCGGTTGTCGGTTCTTCGAGCCATATGGCCGGCCCACTGCCACTTCAGCTTACTAATCCATTGGGCTATGCCGGTTACTCTAGTTCTACTGCGGATATCCTCATTTCTAAGTTTATCACGTAGAGACACCCCGAGCATAGCCCTCTCCATAGGTCGCTGAGCGACCTTGAGCTTCCTCATACGGCCAGCAGTGAAGGACCACGTCTCAGATCCGTAAGTCATCACTGGCATGTCTAACGAGAAAATGTGTCGTAGTTTCCCGAATGCTGCTCAGCCGAGATGAATCCGTCGATTGACCTCTCGGCCGAAGTTGGACTTACCTAGTCGGACTATTTGTCCCAGGTAAACATACTCGTCAACAACTTCGAGCTTAGTGCTCCCAACAACTACCGGCATAGGTGTGACATGGACATTAAACATGATTTTTGTTTTGTCCATGTTCATCTTAAGACCTATCTGTTGGGAGGCACTATTGAGGTCATTGAGCATAGTGCTTAGGTCCTCCAGCGATTCTGCCATAAGGACTATATCGTCGGCAAATCGAAGGTGAGTGATGTACTCGCCATTGATGTTAATACCGCATCCTTTCCAGTCCAGTAGCTTGAAAACGTCTTCCAATGCAGCGGTGAAGAGTTTCGGGGATATAACGTCACCCTGTCTTATCCCTCTCTGCAGTTGGATAGGTTTCTTACTCTGGTTTTGTACTGGGATAGCCATCGTAGCTCTACCTTTTAACCTCTCTACCGTTAACTCGCACTAGAAATTTCTTTAAAGTAAGTATAATTGTAAGTATAAAAGTTATAAAAGCTCAAACAACTAGTTGCTACTTTTTTCTTAATCGATACTGGCTGCATGCTGATTGTGATGCACTATAATATATGTGCCTCCGTTTTTCAGGCAATTTAAAGTTGAAGTTGTAGATTTATCTGTATAATGTGCAGATATGCAACATGTGATGGATACTTTTTGAATATTTAAAATACATACCATTGAGTTTCTCAGCCATCAAGTAGACAGCCAATATTTCATTAACGCCGCCAATTCGTGCGGAATCAATCTGGCAAAACTGCATGCCTCCGCTTTGAAGAAACTGTTTGAACATTACGCGGTTGGCGCACATTTCACCCGTAGCCACACCAATGCCATAAGGTCTGGTAAGAAATATTAATTTAAAATCATCTTATTGAATGAGAAGGAAATTATTCATAGCTGCAGTGATGGCATGATAAAGTGAAAAACTGGCTAAAACCCCACGTGAAAGTAGCTACTGCAACATATGGACACCTGCAACCAACTAAAAAAAATAAACAAGAAAGTCACAGATGCGTTATGCCCCATCTTGTACTGTACACGTGAACGTTTTCCACACAAATCGTTTTAAACTTTTTAAGGGGTTCATGTATTTCTATTAGCCTGGTCAAGAAATGTGAATGTTTACAAGTACGTAATGACGAACAGTTGTTGGTGTATGAAGAAGCATACCATTTTTGCTTGTATTGGGATGACGGTACAGTCTGCATCATCTTCAGTCACCATGCTTGGTAGGTGGACTGACGTACTCAGTACCACAAATCTCACACCTTTGTCGCTGTTTTCAATCGCCGATATAATTTCTGACATTAACGAGATGGTTATAAATCAAAAACGAAAGATTCCCGGACTGATGTCGGGGACCAACTTCCGGTGTAGCGATTTGTCAATTCACGTGCCAAGTGTGAATATTAAGGTAAATTCTCCCTACAACGAGAGAGGCCCATGCCAAGCGCTGGATTCTGATCAGCTAATAAAGACGACGAAGAAGAGTTTAGTAGTTTTTTTTTCCATTTTATTGAACTAAGTATTACCAAATATAATATTGAAATCATAATTATTTGGCCGGTGGAAGGAAAAGGGGAGATCTTCCGCCGAGTGATAGTTCGGAGCTATTCTATATATATACTGCTTTAACTTCGGAACTTTGTTAGCGCGATTTAGGCTTCGATGTGTTTCGCTTGTGGCGCGACGACAGCGCTGCCACATCACCCCCCTGCTCAGACCGGAGGTCGATAGTACTGTGCAGTCCGATTGCTAGTGATCTCTTAATGCCGGTGGGCATGCTGTGTGCGTAAGGGCAAGTGACGCCGGTGCGAAGGATATGCCGGTGTGTAATGCATGCCGTACTACGCATTATCAAGTGATGCCGGTGGGAACGATGAGCCGGAACAGCCGGGCTATTCACAATCGTCTCGGAAAGCGAATTCGACTCGGATTCGATAACTTCTCGCACCGAAACCAATAAACGCTATTCACATTTAACGTTCGGATAAAGGTCACTTAGATACATCCCATAACTATTGTATCGCCATTTAGTTACATGCATTTACGAATTTTGTAGATAAATAGGCTTTTGTATTTTTTTAGAGTAACGCCTAAACAAAAACATAATGCAATATTTTGGTGTTAGCCATTGATATCGAATATAAAAAAATATATAATTTAACTATATAATAAATAACAAAAAAACTGAGATATGTCTCGTTTCACAAAGCAGCATATATATATATATATATATATATATTTGTGATAGAAAACTTATAAAAACACACCTTTCACAAAAATTCAGCTTTACGATTAAGTGCAAATATTGAAGTAATTATATGAAAATACGTCTTATAGATAACTGTAATTAATTTTTGTTACCTACCTTATAATTAAAAGGGTTTATTTATCTCTTCTAATCATCAATATTCGAAAAGTTTTCGCCAGCCTCAGAGCTCTCGTAAAGTTTCCGATGCAAACTGTCACAATTATCGAAAACAAACGTCAAAGAAGTACCGTCACGCCCCATAGAAAAAAACCCAGACCCGACAGAAACGAGACATATCTCAGTTTTTTTGTTATTTATTATATAGTTAAATTATATATTTTTTATATTCGATATCAATGGCTAACTCCAAAATATTGCATTATGTTTTTGTGCAGGCGTTACTCTAAAAAATTACAAAAGCCTATTTATCTACAAAATTCGTAAATGCATGTAACTAAATGGCGATACAATAGTTATGGGATGTATCTAAGTGACCTTTATCCGAACGTTAAATGTTAATAGCGTTTATTGGTTTCGGTGCGAGAAGTTATCGAATCCGAGTCGATTTCGCTTTCCGAGACGATTGTGAATAGCCCTGCTGAAGTGCCAGGGATTTGCCTTGTAGTCTGCGGTAAGTCGAGAAGAAGGCAAGTAATTTGCGAGAGTGCCGTGAAGCAGAGGCGAGCAGTAAGGCTCAGAGCCGTGCCGAACACTGTAGCACAAGGAGTAGCTTGAAAGAACAGGAAGCATTATTATTCCAGTGCTGCAATGAACCTTTGTAAAGCTAGATGGCTTTCAGAATGTGAAGACTGCAGACAATATCTGTTCGGGAGCGAATGAATGGGATACTTGTGGATGAGGACGAAGATTTGAAGTTGTAGTTTCCGAAGGTTGTTGGTTGCGTGTTCAATATCACGTCGGGGTCACCACTGTGGCGGGTGGAAGGAAAAGGGGAGATCTCCCTCCGGGCAAGGTGTTCTGCCCGGGGAGCGGCCAATGCTCCAAGTTGTAGTTCAGAGCTATTCTATATATACTGCTTTAACTTCGGAACTTTGTTAGCGCGATTTAGGCTTCGACGTGTTTCGCTTGTGGCGGGACGACAGCGCCGCCACAATTATTTTTAATAATTAATTTAAAATATTGATACTAGTTGGTGAAATATTTTAAATACCCATATAAATCCATGTTGCAGGAAAGCAGCAGTGATGATAATGATGACAATGTAATGATGACTTCTCAAACAGTGATGCAGAGATGAGCGAAATTGGAATTTTAGATTCAGATTAATACTTTTTCGTTTGTTCTTTCATAAATAAATATTATTTCCAAAATATTTGTTTTGCTCACCATACCCTAAGTGGTTTTAATTGACAGCTATGACGTCACAATGGGATGCCAGGTCAGTCCTATTCTTATTTTAATTGCATAGTAAAATACAATATATATATTTTTACTTTCGTTTTGGTGTCCTCTTACGACCCACTTGAATATTTGCAGCGGGCCGGTTTTAATTCTCGTCCCAAGGTTAAGAAACGCTGGAATAACGTCTGACACACTTACTTCAAAGCTTGAGAAATGGCAGCGTGCCCTAATACATCATCAGGCGACGTTGGTTCCTCGATCCACATGGGTTTGAGAGGTGCCAGTTTCTTCATCCATTCAATTGCTTCATTAACGCCCCAAGCTTGATTTGCATCAACCATCTGTCAAATGATACAAAATTTGAAATTTAATGTATTTCAAACGTTTGAGCTATCATCATCAAAAACCGGCTAAATGCGAGTCGGGCCTCGCTGTATTAGGATTCCGTAAATATTGCGACCATTTGACATTTTTGCGTCGTATATTTATAGCGTTAGAGAATCTACTACCACAGTGATAAGAAACAACAAGAGATAAATGAAACAGTAGATCATTTCCAGTAAAAAGGGTCTCCGGTTCTCTAAATTCACCAAAAGAAGACCGTGGTCTTTCCCCAGTTAAGCCGATCCATTCGCGTTACAACTATACTACTAATGTAGCTGCAGCATGGTTCTACCGCGTATAAAATCAGCATTGTTGATTACAGATTTCTGCTTTCATCTGTCGCTAGACAATGAGGGCATCCTGCTTTCAGGGCGGCATCACTTTGGAATGAGGTTATGTATTTGACAGATTTCATTGTGGGGAAGTTATTTTTTTTTACGAAAATTTACCTTAAGGGTTAACGTTTCTATCTGTTATATTAATTATATTTTATATTAAGTAGATTCGAAATAAACCTGCTACTACTGATATAAACTACTGATATTCCTAAAAGCAGAAAAATTAAAAAAAAAAAAGAGTTAAAAATGTGCAAAAAATTAAAGTGCAAACCACTGAGGAATTGTTTTGTGTATTCATATAATATTCTAAAATATGAAAAAGTTTTATTTAAAACTAACTTCTCAATTAAATGACATTGTGTAATATAAAACTTCACCTCAGTCCCAACTAGCGACATCTGGTAAGCGGAAGGTTATTAGCCGTCATTGTACGTCAATCAACCGGGTGCACAATATGCAGATAAGATAAGCATTCGGGGATATATGTTCGGTTTACACCGAACACATTATGTACGCGTAGGCATTTTACTTTAAAGTTTTTGAGTCAGTAAATGTACGGACGCCAACAAGGTCCCGTGTGCTAACAACTAACATACCTAACATTTGTAAACATTAGGCCGGCGCCAGATATAGCAACAACATTTGAACACTTATTTGAAGGACTCTACACACTTGTTTGAACACTTATTGGCCCAACCTGCCAGACATGCTTTGCAAACATATCTCTCCACAGTACGTTGATAAACAAGATAGACGACGATTTTGTGGATGCAGTGTGCCTGTGTTATTTATTACATGTGCAAAAAATCTATCAAAACGGTCGAAAAGAAGGCTCGAATCCATCTATAACTATTTAAGCGCGTACACGCACACAGAGAACAAAAACTTCCATGCCGCTTGCCGCCGGTAAAACGTAATGCACACGACCGCCCCGCTCAACAACGCTCCAGCGAATGAACTTTGTGCAAGTGTGGCAGGCTATGTTATGCAAACATTTGAACACTGTCGACTTCGAACGCTTTGATGTGCGCTAAAAACCGATATCGCTTAGCAAAGTGCATTTCTTAGTGCACTTATTTGAACATTGATTCAAAGTCCCGTGCTACACATAGCTTCAAACAAGTGTTCAAATGTTTGAAGCTCGCCGGCTTTATAACAATAAACATTTTGTGCATAAGTAACATTTACATCAATATATGGTGTTAAATATCACAACAATATATGGTATATTCCTCCTCACACCCCTCTGTGAATAAATTAGTGCAATATAAATATTTGTTTCGCAGTCATCATCCCAGGCAACACAAAACGGAGAGCTCTTACCAAAAATTTGTCCTCGCCGATATGTTTCCGTACCGCGCTGCATCGTCGGTAGTCGTCTTCGAAGTTGAGTCCGACTTTGACTTTGAAATGTGTGAAGCCTAAGTTGAGATATTTATTGCACAGTTGCTTTACTAATTCATCGCTGTAGCCCAGCCAGCCTTAAACATAACCATATCGATATACTCACTATTTAAATGTACTATCCTTTTTTATTTTGCTTTATCTTTTTATTTATTATAGTAAAAAGTTGTGAAATTCTTCACTCTATTTCATCCCGTTGAGTGTGGTTATAGTCGACTATTATTTCAGATAGTAGATCGAAGTATTTGAGAAATATAAAAGTTTTTACCTTGCATGGGCCACTCAAAAAGTTTTGCGAAACCAAAAAAAAACTTCTGTAGTTGTTTTAAGCGACATTTTAAATCGTAATAAACCATCGCCTTATAATGTTTCCGACGCAGATCGTGCTTGTAAAAAAATGTGGAGGGAAATTGGAACATTCGGAATTTACTTGTAAATTTGTATTTTTAAAATTATAACTGGACGGTGTCTCACATTATTTTTTTTTGCGCAAACTTTTTGCGTGAACTGTCGTTTAATAATACAGTATAACCAACAAGCTATTATTCTACCTGAAGGTAAGTAGCTACAGCCCGTGAAATGTAAGGACCAACTTCAAACAAATACATTTAAGATTGCAGACTAACGATGTGGGTAGCGGCTTTAGGCGACGGCGAACTAAGATAACATAATACATTAGGTCAGTGCGGCAAACAGTCACCTAGAAGTACGCTACTTCGCCTATGTCAGGTAATGCAAAGTTCCTAATTTGTTTCGCATTTAAATCTGCAAGAAACCTTGAGGGTTGAATGTATGAAGCAGGTTGAATTTTTAGCCTCGAGTGACGAAAGGATGTGAAAATGTCCTTCAAGTAAAATTTCGATCACATCTACAACTCTTGAATACTGTCAATGTAGATATACTTAGTATCACATTGTACGCGCTTATGTATAGGAGAGGCACTCTTCTTACCACCCCGTGTTCATTACAACATCAAAAGGAGGTTAACTTGCAGAGTCATAGACACAGTGTTAATTAATCAATCACATATTCACATACAGCTAGATTCGAACATCGACATCGTTTTTGCAAAATTGTTGATATTTCCGGTTGGTATTCTAATTATAACTCATAATCCGTGGCGTGACAACCCGTTAATCTGAACGCGGAACAAGTCATGAGGTAGTGCATCGTCTAATGACGTATCTAGCGCTGGGTTTCTAGTTTTGGTACCTATACAATGTTTATTCTAGTACTGACATGAATACAAAAGGTAAAAAATAATCTACAAATAAATTTACATGTCTTACCAACTTGAGTGGTATAGGCCGGGTATCCATTTTCCAACAAATATTTCACTCTCTCTTTTTTACTCGCCTGCTTGGATTTCAGTAGCTTTATAGCTTCTTCCTTAGTGATAACATCAGTTATGTAACGAAAATCAATAGTAGACACCAACTCCTGATGAATTACAGTGATAAAATAACATAAAAAAATTCGATAGGTTTTGATATTTAGGTACACAAACACAAAAATTCGTAAATACTTAGTAGTTGATTCGAGTATATGAATGTCCGCTATATTGGATTCGCGAGATTCTTCGATTAATTTAAAATACAGGCGTTACTAAAATCTCTTCAGCAGTGCCTGGTTAACAGTTGGTATATAGATGTACTGAAGCGTTTGTATCAGCCTCGCTGTTTAGTGGTGGCGTAAGAAAATCTACTATTCTGTCGTAAGAGGCGACGTGGCAAAACTGAAACAAGAGATGGTCATAAAAATGCGGGTCAACCCGTTTGCCAAATGTGGCAACTATGTCCTATTCAGGAGGGATAATGCAATCTACCATAGATTGCATTATTCCTCCTGGAGGAGGCCTATGTTCAGCAGTGAGCTTTTATGGGGTGTTATGACGATGATGATATTTTTTATAAACTTTTAAATGCATTAAGCTCAGAACATTTGTCCAATAATGATAAACTCATCATCTCTTATTACAAAACAAACGTATTGATAGTTTTGGGCACAAAATTTAATTCGAGGTTTAAGAGTTCTAACTAAAGAAGTCTTTTAGCGCGGCGCCTATCTTCGCGAACATTTAAGCAGATAACTGCATAGAACCGCTAATATAAAAATAAAATATTAAGTAACATATCGCTCGAAATTTTTACAGTGTTAGAAATTAGCACTATCATTCATTTGTTCAGATCTGCATAAGGATTAAGCTTTCTACCTCGGGCTCCATATCCACTAGGAGTCTCCACAATGGCTTGTTCTCTAGTCTAGCCCAAAGATCCCAAAGGGAATTCAGTATAGCTGCGACAGCTAAGTGTACAGCTCCTTTCTCAGGTCCGATCTAAAATCAAATCCGAAAAATTTAAATTATTTATTTTTATTTGTATTGTTATAATATTATGTAGAAAAACCCACTTGCAATTATTGTACTGTCTCATATAATAGAAAAACTATTGTTAAAATTATTCAGGTAAACATTGATATTACATAAATATGTTGGATTCATAAAGGTGAAGGTGCTCTGAGGAATTGTTCGGATTAATCCCAGCCGCCAATTTTACGAACGCACATCGCGGCAGAACTCCCGATACCATCCACACTATCTGGATGATTGAGGGTCCACCACTGGGCGATTTAGAAGATGTTTTCTTCTTCGCACAACTTCCTTGTAGAATCGATTACCATCAGCGATTTTTCCGGACCGATACGACTTAGGGACCTTCAAGAAAAGAGCCTACTCCTTTTTAAAAGGCCGGCAACGCATCTGCGATTCCCATGGTGTTCAAGTTGTTCATGGGCGGCGGTAGTCTCTTACCATCAGGTGAGCCGCATGCTCGTTTGCCCCCTCTCCTATAAAAAAAAAGGTAGATTAATACAAACCCATCGCATCTGAGAGTCATTTGTAATAGCGCGCCAAAAGCCAGCGAAGTCAGCAAATATGTCTGCGGCGTTTTTGCCTAGTACGAATTTCTTCAAAGCCCTGATAGTAAACACCACCACTTCAGTACCACGGCCACATGTGAATGTCAATCCATATCCTTGCTTGCCGTTTTCCAATGTGATCGTAACGTAAGCACACGAGTAATTAGGATCGGTGTGCTGAAACCGTTGCCCTACATGAATTATTTAATTTAAAAATAAACTAAGTATAAATACTAAAAAAGTTGGCATAAAAAGAAAATATAAATCTTAGTATGTATTTAACTACCTAGAGTGTACAGTGTAAAAAACTACTGTATTTCAAACTGGCAGTGGTTTTTTTTCAGTCTAGTCTAGAGGCCCGCCTTGGTAGGTAGCACTCTCGTACCTACTTCAACCGTTAAGCAGCATTGCATCCACTGTTGTATTTATCATCATTGCATAGATCATCAGAGAGATAGTGTAATTCCAGGATGTTAAGTATTCCACGGCATAATATGAACGAACCGCCGGAGGACCTAAGCATTATGCTCAATGACCTCAATAGTGTCTCCCAACGGATTGGTCTTAAGATGTAAGTGGACAACACAAACTCATGTGTAACATCCATGTCACACCTATGCCGGTAGTTGTTGGGAGCAATACGCTCGAAGTTGGTAACGAGTATGTTTACCTAGGACAAATAGAGCGATTAGGTAAGTCCAACTTCGACCGAGAGTTCAATACACGGATTCAACACGGATGGGCAGCGTTGGGAAGATTACGACAAATCTTTTTGTCAGGCATACCTCAAAACCTCAAACCAAGATTGTACAACCAGTTTGTGCGTGACTTATGAATCTGAGACGTGGTCCTTCATTGCTGGCCGTATGAGGAAACTCAAGGTCGCTCAGCGAGCTATGGAGAGGGCTATACTCAGGGTTTCTCTGCGTGATAGACTTAATAATGAGGATATATGCAGTAGAACTTGAGTAAATGACATAGCCCAACGGATTAGTAAGCTAAAGTGGCAATGAGTCGGCCATATAGCTCGAAGAACCGACGTCCGATGGGAAAAAAAGGTTCTGGAATGGCAGCCTCGTACCGGTAGACGAAGTGTAGGGCGTCCTCCCACTAGACACCAGAGTACGTGGTAAGACAAGCAGGAAGTCGACGGATGCAGGTGGCTCAGGACCGTGCTTTGTGACATTCCTTGGGATAGGCCTACGTTCAGCAGTGGACTTGTACTGGACTGTAATGATGATGAAGTATTCCACCTTCTAGGTTAGGACTTATGAGTAATAAAGCACCGGAAACCCGCTTTACTGGAAGTAGGCTTCTCATTTCATTGAGGTGGAGTAGGTGTACCTACCCGTAGTACTGACCACCGAGTATCATTTTGACGAGGTTTGTCTCTCGCTTGTTATAAAAAATAACTCAAAGGCGCTTTTGCATCTCACATAATTTCATTAACCATAAAACAAAAATTGTATGTCACGCGTATCAATAAGTCGGTACTTAACATAAAAAATGAAATACTAAATACGATGTGTTGACTTAACTGAATACTTAGGCCCTTCTTAATAAACGTTACTCAACGACGAACTCAAGTTCATAATCATTTGATACGCCCTCATTACGATATCAGCATCTCAAGAACGTTGCTAATTAATAAACACATAAAAACAGTATCTCAAAACGCTGTACATAGGAATACTGTTCTGTGACTTCCACTCGAGTACACACACTTGAGAGTCGAGTTTCGTTTATTAATCAGTGTGGCACTCAGCCATAGATTACCTCCTAGTTAGTTAGTTTAGGGGGTAATCTATGCACTCAGCTGATATCGTAAACCTAAACCGCATCTTGAGATATGTTTATTATAATAAGATCATAACCTCAAGATTGTACTCATTGTGCGTCTACTTGAGCTGAGTAACGTTTATTAATACGGGCCTAAGAGTAGTCTGCAGCGGTGCTCCAGTGCGTGTTGTTTTACTTCCTATATACGTTTATTTCTTAGACATGCAAGTTTCTTCACGATATTTGCCTTCACCGCTAAACAATTTCATTAGTGCTGGCAGAGACCCGGGTTTACTTAACGTGAAAATACAACCCTCGAGTCAGGGGCCCTGAGCTATCGCGCATAGAACATATTGAACTGTTACTGATAATGTTTTTAAATAATAATTCATGTTTTTATGCCGAGAATTCATTTTTGCAAGACTGGCGGTACTTGTAAATATTATTTTTTAATAAAACTATGACGCTTTTAAACTACAGCATTTTAAACCGTGTAGTGGCGGTGTAAGAATATCCACTACCCCATATTAAGTCTTGGGTGTATCAAGAGCAGACAGAAGGAAGCTGAACTAGGAGAAAGGTAGAAGCATCTTTCTGAAAACAACTGAATATAACTAAAAGAATGCGGTTGTCAACCCGCTTGCCATGCACGGCTACTTTTGCAAATCGGGCATTCTATGGGGGAGGCCGGGGAGGCCTATGTTCGGCAGTGGACTTTTTTAGGCTGTAGTGTAATGTATAACGCTTTACTATAACGTCACTAACTAGATGAACTTTAAATGTAGCAATGGATAGTAGGTACTTAATCTTTGTGCGATTATATTTCCGGTCATGGCATTAGAAGTTTCTGTATTTAAAGACACCTTAATAATAAAACCAAGGAAACTTTAAAACATTAAAAACACTAACTATATTTTTTATTTTTTGCTTATTTAGATGCATTGAGTTATATGTACTACGTACTAGAGAAGCCATTCCAAACAAAAATTGTGTCCTACTCTATGTATTCGCGCATGCGTGGGAATAGTAGTCGCGCATGCGCGAAGACTAATTTGATATAAAATAAGATATTAATATACAATAAATATAAGAATTTAATATAAAATATCTTAATTTAATCTAAACAAACATATTTCTAAATAAAATGTAATAATAATTATTTTATGGAATTCACAAATCTTCAATTTACGCAAAATTTTGTTTGTATGGATTGCACTACAGTTCAGTTGAACACAGTCAATGTTCGGAATGGCTTCTCTAGTACGTAGTACATATAACTCAATGTTTAGATGTAATCAAATTTACGTACGAGGGCGGCACTGAAAATTTCGGGAATCAAGGAAGTGACACAACATTACTATTTAAAAATGTATTTATTGCTTTTCGAAGTATTCTCCGCGAAATTTGACACATTTTTCCATACGATGGAAGCAATCATTGTTTCCATACGATGGAAGCAATCATTGAAGCAACCATTCCATTCGGAAGTTGGGGTTTCCAAAATGGCCGTTTTGTAGGCGTCCATAGCTCCTTCAGGTGATGAAAATCTCTGTCCACGCAATTTATTCTTTATTTTAGGGAAAGTATAGAAATCATTAGGGCTTAGGTCGGGGCTGTACGGCGGATGGACTAATAATTCTATGTTTTCTTGCTCTAAAAACTCTTTTGTTCTATGTGTGGTGTTAGAACTCGCATTGTCGTGATGGAGGATGATGCGGCGGTTGCAGTTCTCTTTACGGAGTTCAGAAACAACCTGTGGCAAACAAATGCTAGCATACCATTCTGCATTAACCGTTCTTTGTCCCTCAAGAGGAATAGTCGTAACATGGCCGGTTTTGGAGACAAACGTGGCCACCATTTTTTTTGCAACACTCCGTGTACGAACAATTTTTGTTGGCTTTAACTCATTTTCGAACACCCAAACTCGTGACTGGTTTTTTGTTTCGGGTTCGTACGCGTATATCCAGGATTCGTCACCTGATAATATGTTGTATACAGCATTTGAGGATCCTGCGTGGAATCTTTCGAGAGTTCTAACGCACCAAGTAACGCGAGCCGCTTTTTGCTCTTCACAGAGCGAATGTGGTATCCATCGGGAAAACAACTTTTTTACACCTAATTGTTCATGCAAGATTATTTGTATTTGACTCATGCCAATGTCTAAAGTTTCCTGAATTTCGCGGTATGTCACATGTCGATCTTCCTCAATCAGCTTACGCACAGCATCAACGTTTTCTTGGGTGACTGCAGTTTTTGGACGACCTTGACGGGGATCATCACTGAGCTTGACACGTCCACGTTGAAATTCCGTAAACCAGCGATAAATTGTGGTTTTGGATGGAGCTTCATCACCAAATGCAGAAATCATCCGGTCAACACACTCTTTTTGTGTTAAACCGCTTCGAAAGTCATAATAAATCATCGCTCTTGAATTTTCTCGAGTCAATTCCATTTTCTCAACGACTAAACAAGTTTGACAAAACCTTGTGACAAGACCGAGAATCTTTTTTTAAATAAATAAATGGTATTCGATTTTTAAAACCAAGGACTTTTTAATTAAAAAAAAAATTAATATGACAGGAACAGTGGAAATATTCCATTCCCGATACTTTTAGTGCAGCCCTCGTAATTGACGTGTAATTACTCATTAATCTCAATTCATAAGTCGGTACATTCAATCATAAATATTGTGTTATTAAAGTTACTTATCGTAAATGTTTACTTTTTTGAAGTTTGTTGTTATAAATACAGCTGAGTATCAAAAAGATAACAATGAGAGAATTCAGAATTATCTTAGTGCTTAGTATTTATGCTATTGGATTGGATAATTATTAATATGAAATATAAATATAGTACAGAAATTATTAAACATGCAAAATATCAAATAATATTTATTACCAAAGCATCAGATCCGTGTCCTCCAAGCGACGTCGGGAACCGTATGTCTTTTACATCGATGTGAACAATTTTCAAGCCGGCTCTGTCTGGAACGGGCATCTTGATGCGATCTCGCCAACGACTGATAATGAATAATGATACATACGTGATGGTTTCTGCTTCCCCTCTACACGTAGATAACCTTTTTGTCGGTTTTATCAAGTATATTCTACTAGCTGGTACTCGGCGCATTGCAGTCGCAGAAGAAATAATTGCGGAAATATCATTTTAAATTTGGAAGGGCTATATTGTTTAATTAGCAATGTCAATACATTCATTGAAATTGAATGATATACAGTAAAACTTGGTTAAGGGGGACCTGGATAAGTCAGAAACCTCCATAGCTGGAACTCATGCTTAGGTCCCGACACTAGCACTGAATTACCTCTGTTAGTGGAACAAACAAACCTCTATATCTGGAATTAGTTCTTTCGATTCTATCGTCATAATTACCTCTGTATTTGAGACAGCGAGTATGGCTCGCCACATACATACGGAATTCCGTTTCGGGATTCCGTTTCGATATTCCGATTCGAGATTCCGAACGCAGCAACTTCATATAAAATATATGAGCCGTCACACATGTACGGTAGTTTTCCGTTCGAAATTTCGCGGGCAAAACGGGATTCCGTATGTGTGTGGCCGAACCTTTCGCAATTCCGAAAAGGAAACTCGAAACGGAATTCCGTATGTATGTGGCCGGCCTCTGAGTCTATATTTTGTGTACCTACCGTTTTGTTTACTAATTCTTATTCTACCCGCAAATTCCGCACTTGCCTAATTGTGTAAAAGTGACCTCCAGTTTTGTATTGGTTTTACTATCGCCCTGATGTTTATTTGAAAATGCCGAAGCTAAGTCTTTATCAGTACGTGAAAAACTAAAGTACGCATTCTGTATGCATTTTGGTATTATTTATAAAAAATGCTTAATTATTTTTGTTTAATAGCTTTTTTGATTATTAATGAAGATTACAACTCATGTATATAATGTTTACAAAATACGTTATTTTATTTAATAATCGCACCTCTATAACTGAAATAACCTATATTTTCACCTCTATTAATAAGACAGATATTTATTTATACCTTTATATCTGAGACACTGGGTAAGTGGAATACCTCATTAAGTGAGACAATTTTACAGGTCCCTTAGGGTCCCAGTTATCCAGGTTTGACTGTATATACATTTTTATATAATTAATGACACACTTGGTAGCTATGGCTGCGTTCGGAAGATTTCAACACATCTTCTCGTCAGGTATACCTCAAAACTAGATTGTAGAACCAGTGAGTGTTAGCTATGGATCTGAAACATGGTCCTTCACTGTTGACCGTATTAGGAAGCTCAAAGTCGCTCAGCAAGCTATGGAGAGGGCTATACTCGGAGTTTCTCTGTGTGATACTCTTAAAAATGAGGATATCCGCAGTAGAACCAGAGTAACCGACATAGCCCAAAGGATTAGTAAGTTGAAGTGGCAATGGGCCGGCCACATATCTCGAAGAACCGAGATGGGGAAGGAAGGTACTCGAGTGGCAGCCTCGTACCGGCGGGCGAAGTGTAGGGCGTCCCCCCACCTGATAAAGCTTCGTTCACACACAGCGACAATTCGCTGCCTGCCTGTCACACACAGCGAGTACTACACGAGAATTATCTATAATATGTATCTTTTATATTTTTAAAATTTCCTTTCAATTACTCTTTGGTTGCTATTTCGAATCCCAACTCAATTAATTCGTTAAACAATGAACGCGTCTTACTTTGCGTTTTTTTAAATTACTAATACTTGTTATGTGTCAAACGGCTCCCCATTTTTTCTATACACACCCAAGAAACAAATTATATCGTATTTTCCCCATTTTAGACAATCGTTTTCGGTTAACTAATTTGATTGACCTATACATACGTATCATACAGCAACGAAACGACCTATGCACAGGCGTGTAGTCTGGAGCGAAATGGCTACTCGCAGCGAGTACCCTGTCACACACAGCGAATTCTCGCAGCGAGTGCTCATTCGCAAAGTAAAATTGAATATGTTCAATTCAATTCGCAGCGAATTCAACTCGCGGCGAATAGCCTGTAAGACATAGCGAATACTCGCTGCACGTAATCGCAGCGAGTATTCGCTTTGTGTGATCGAGGCTAAGACATGCCGGAAGTCAATGGATGCAGGTGGTTCGGGACCGTGCATTGTGGCAATCTTTAGGCCATGTTCAGCAGTGGACTTGTGAAGGGCTGTAATGATGACTGATAACTTACAACTTACAGTTTTTTTTTGGTAAGTGGTTCCTGTGGCCCATAGGCATCTACATCTATGTTCATTTGCGAATTAAAATGCAGATGCGTTGTCAGCCGTGAAGACTAAGATAGAATGCCTCTTTTCCAGTAAAATAGGTCATTCGTGCTACAACTATACTATTAATATAGTTGCAGCATGGCTCTACCACGTAAAATTAAACACGTAAAAAGTGTCTGGTGGTGGAGGTAAATATCGTGCGACAATTAAGTTTTAACGATTTTATTTTTATCTGGGGCGCCTTGTCATTGCGTATACTTGCAGCACCTAATTAGCACTTAATTCCTTGCTATTAATATTTATCGTATATCTAATAACTTCATTGCGTTGCCAGCGATACGTTTTGCCAGCAACGCAAACTTCAATGGTTCGTTGCGGTGAAATTTTTGGAGCAACTAATTTTTAAACTTGGTACTTAATTAGCACCTAAAAAGCCCCTAATTTGGACTTTTTCTGAAAGCAATTTTGATTGTATTTTGATTTTCAGGAAATCTGAATTTTGCATCTGCTATGTTCTGAATAACGACTTTATTTTTATTAGGGGCGCCTTGTTATTGCGTATACTTGCAGCACCTAATTAGCACTTAATTCCTTGCTATTAATATTTATCGTATATCTAATAACTTCATTGCATTGCTAGCGAGACGTTTTGTTAGCAACGCAAATTTCAACAGTTCGTTGCGGTGAAAATTTTAGAGCACCTAATTTTTAAACTTGGCACCTAATTAGCACCTAAAAAGCCCCTAATTTTGGATTTTTCCAAAAACAATTTCCTGACTTTGCGTTGCTAGCGATACACAACTCGACAATTATCATTATATTATTATACTATATTTTCTTTTTTTTTAATCTACGCATTGAGCGCTAATTGACATAAAATCCGATTTACTAAATGCTTTACTTCTAATTTTAATCAGGTTATGCAATTCTTACTTAGGCTAATATAGGGTCTTTTTTCAGTTAGGTCATTGAAAGCTTTAATATATTAAAATATACCTGTTTATTTAATTACATTTTAATACAAACATTTATATTACAATATAAACAACATTTATATATTTACAAAAAAAAAACTATCCATAAATCAAATTGTGCATGCCCTAAGCGCATTAAAAAAATTACGTACAACAACGAAAATTTAAAAGTGCACGACTTATAATGCTCGTATGATAGTGAAAAAATATATAAATTGTGGTTCTATTCGTCAAAAAGTTCCAGTAGCAGTCACCGAAATACACCTTTAAATCACTCCGTCCAGTCCGGAAGTAAGATCTATTCATAACTAACAAAATGAGCCCAAACTCGGCACATCTAGTTCTCCTCGTTGAGGAGTTCCAGTAGTAGTCATCAGTCCACCTTCAAGTCACTCTATCAAAACGGGAGGTAAGGTCTCATCATAACTAACAAAACTCGGCACACTTAATTCTACTTTTCGAGGAGTTCCAGTAACATTCATCAAAATACACTTTCAGGTCAAGTCCGGAGGCAGAGGCGGATTAAATGTCGACTGCGCCCTAGGCTAGCCTAGCACCTCAATGGGGCACCTCTAGGGTCCTTATTATATCTATTATAAATGAAATATGCTAATTTTGCAAACAAACTATACTATAATTTATAATATAGTTTAATAATTACAAAATAATTAGGACATGAGTATCATTAACAGGGTCCCCCTGAACAACATCTGAAAAATGTGATGAGAGAGTAATAGCTATCAAATACCATTTCTTTTTTGTTTAAAAACTTCCGCGCGCTCTTTTTTAACCTTGCACCCCTAGATATGTGCCTAGTTTGCCTTAAGTATAATCCGCCACTGTTCGAAGGTCTCATCATAACTAACAAAACGAGCCCAAACTCAGCACCCCTATTACTATTACTACTCTTCGAGGAGTTCCAGTAGCATATTTCGAAGTACTGCTTTAATTTAAAAGTACTCTGTGGCCGGGAGTGAGGCAAAGTGTATTTAGTAAAATAAATTCATACAAGACTGCTCAAAAACCGTAAATTTCGCTATTTCTCTGCCGAAATAAATTAATTATAACTAAACAAAACAAAATTAAACTGCCATTTACATTCCATGGCTCCCCACATGATAGATGAAGTTTTAAAAATAGATTGAGTTGAACAATTGATATTTTCAAAAGATATCTTATTTACGCCTCCATGAGGACTTGATAAATCTACACCTTAAGCCACTAAAACCCCTTTTTTATGTAAAAACAGCAATTGATCGATTAAAAAAAATAAGCTCAACAATCATTTATCTTTCTGACAATGTGCTTTTTATATCATTTATATGTTTAATATGATTGTTAGATGCGATTTCATGCGACAAAACGTTGGAATCTTGATTTTTAGGCGCTAGTAGAACATACCTACGCGCTTTGCGCTTAAGGCATGCAATATAAACAGTAAAATTGTTTAATTTACACATCAGAGTCAGCATTGTTGTGATTTTTTTGACAATATATTATTATACTTGTTTTATTAACAAAATTATGTACTCTCTGACTAGAGTTTCAGACGAAAACGCGGGCATTCTCTTATATAAAGTATAAAATATCACAATATATTTCTACCAAATTATTTTAGGTACCGCCAAATCACAGTTAGTACTTAGGAGCACGCAGCTTAAATTAGTTTTAACTGAAGAAATTTAAGACTAAGTTTACTTAAAATACTACCTAAAATGCCAAAAATCGTGAAAACAAGAGACATGCACCACAACCAGTGCATGCTGCCAGTGGTGACATATCAAGGACCGTGCTTTGTGGAATTGCTTGGGGAGCCCATGTTTAGCAGTGGATTTGTAATGTGGTAATAATGGTGATGAATAATGATGACTACCTAAAATGGAAGAACCGTTTTTAAAACCTTTAGTTAGTTTAACATATAACACGAGATATGACAATATTCTCAAATTCCATGAATATTTGTAAGACTGTAGACATGCTCTTTCCACGTGAAAATATCGTTTGTAAACTACATAGATAAGCGTCCTAATTCTAATTACTAATTTGTCGATCATGCACTGATTTTGAAATTATTTTAAACACAGTCAACTGTGTTAGGGTGCAATATGGCACATTTTGTTTGAACACTTCTGTTTAAGATAACATACCTATTTAAGGTTATTGACAAATGACTTTGCTATATATGTAAAACAATTTTATGATATACATGTCCTACTTGCACTAGTATTATTCCACAAAATATAAAATAATTAAACTTCGAAATTGTGATGTGTAAAAGTACCTTGTAGCATATTGGCCCAAAACATTTTCATTAATTAAAAATTAATTAGAAATATTTATGTCATAGTCTAAACTAATCAAGTATAATTTTTGCTAGAAATATTTCTTAACTATTTCTATTCTTTGTTCTTTTTGTAAATAATGGCCACTTCCTTTACAAGCTGTCTCTCTCCCTCTTCCCATAAATGGGTTGTAAGTTTACCCAATGTGCCATCATCATCATTGCGCACCCAGTCGAGAAGAATCTTGTAACGAACCTGGAAAAAAGTATATCTTGTTACACTTTCATTAAGTCACATATAAAAGCTAGAATATATTGCAGTGTGTAATCACTCATTCCATGATTAGTACTTTTCATTGGTAAAACTTAATCAAGGTTTAGATAAAATGCACAGAAATGATAGCAAAGAGTTGGCACTGTTACCACAGAAAACTATTTTATACGATACAGAGCAAAACAACCTTTTAAATAAGGGGAGGTGGAGAAATTAATTTAGTTTAATAATAACATGCACATACGAACTCAGATCAACAAAGAAAGATAGACAAAGCCCTGCATACATTTCAAGTGACTATACGATACAAGATAATGAAAAATTTATAAACAAAAATTCTAAATTCATCCTACTAATATTATAAACGTGAAAGTTTGTGAGGATGTATGGATGTTTGTTACTCTTCCACACAAAAACTGCTGAATGTATTTTAATGAAACTTTACAATAATATAGCTCATACATGAGATATTGTGTAAATTGGTCAAAATATAACGATAAGTACTAAGCAAGTCTGAAAAAATCTGTCATCTGCGAGCTATTTTGGCATGCGGTGCAAAAATTGTAAGAGTTACACTAATATAATGTATGGTGGAATTGTTTCTCCTAAATAGTTCCATAAAAACAGTCCGCGACCGTATATATCTATCTTTTATGTGCAAGCCATTATTGCCAAAATAGTGAACCATAAACACAATAAAATTTGATACTTTATTTCCAATGCACTTTTTGCAGTAACAAATGGATTTTATCAAATTAAATACTTTAATCGCTTCGAGATGTTCAAAGTAGGTAAACTTTTTCTTTTCAACTACCTAATTTGGTCAAATATTTTAAAAGTAATGACGATATAAATTTGTGTGGTCCGGAGCGCGCAGGGCGAGCGAGGTGGGGGAAAACATCGCTCATAGCCATGGGGAAAAATGGTTCTCGAGTGGCAGCCTCGTACCGGCACGCGAAGTATAGGGCGTCTCCCCACTAGATGGAGTGATGACCTGGTAAGATATGCAGGAAGTCGATGGATGCAGGTGGCTCAGGACCGTGCTTTGTGGCATTCCTTGGGGGAGGCTTATGTTCAGCAGTGGACTTGTGAAGGGCTGTAATGATGAATGATGATGATGATGTGTATATTATAAAATAAAAAAATAAACATGGAAGAAAGACAAAGACAAAGTTTTGTATTATATCTTAATTATGTATGTACTAACTGATAGTTGTAGATGTTGTTAAATGGGGAAAGTGATATGAAATGAATATACATTGTATTTTCACGCTTCAGACCTTTTGAAGAAATAATTAAAAGACATTGGAGAATATAATTTCATAAAACACATAAAACACAATTGTACATCATACATTTTTGAAAACAGATCACATTACTTATTATAGTTCATATATCAAAATAAGAAACAACACATGCAAAAATTGTAAATAGGTCTGATTACAGTTAGAATAGCCAAAAGGATACAGAGATATTCTCTAATCTCAGTTGAAAATTCTCCTAATTTTGATTGCAGTAAATATAGAGTGATTTCGGTTTCTAAGCTATTTACAATTTGTAAACAGCTTAGTGAAGTAAAGAATTAAAGCAATAAAATTAAAAAATATCAATATGACAGTAAATATTTTAAAATATATATTAAAACAAGCATATAATATCAAGGTTACTATTTATTTCAGACTTTCATACCTCTGATATACCTTTGCCAGCTTCATCAATCTCAAAAGTTTCAAGTCTGTTTTTGCTGTAGCCCAAGGATAAAAAGACACCATGCCAATTCTTCCCAAGGTTCTTTGATATATAATCAATGTACTCGTGACTCGGCTGAAATGATAATGTGAAAATTTTATTTATAAGTATACAAGCTGCAACACCCTATTTCACCCCCTTAGTGGTTGAATTTTCCAAAATCCTTTCATAGTGGATATTTACATTAAAAAAGGAGCATATATGCCTAATATCAAGTCAATCGGGCATATTGTTTTGCAGATATTGTTATGAATGAGTCAGTGGTATTTTGCTTATATATATGCAGAAAGATAAGTTATGAGTAGTAACACAAAATTAATTTGTAGTTTCTCTGAAGTTAAAAGCAATTTGAAATATGGAATGAAATTATATTAATTTCAAAAATTGTTTATTATAATACACCATCAAAAGATCTAATATATAAAAAAAATAAAAGCACTATACATTTATATTAAAACTATGACCAAACTGGCAATATTATGTGAAATTTTATCATTTTGTCACACAGATATGGTTAAAGAACTCAAGTAATTTAATATAAATTTGGTAACAAAAAATATTATGTCATGGAATAGTACATTGGATAACAATTTGGTCCAATGCTGAATAAAGAGCCCGTTAGTTTTCTACAACTCTCTTAGCTGGGGAAATACTATGAGGGCAAAGGCATGGGCAAAAGCTAGTATATAATATTATAATAAAATATACAGTAGGTAAAGAAAATTTAATGGCATATCTTACCTTTATTGTAGCTTCCATAACAAGCATAATAATATTACTTTTTTCAATAACCTCCCCCTCATCTACTTTGGTTTGCTTTTGTTGAACATTTGTTGGTCCCATGTAGTAGACTATTTCATTACCCCAGTGCACATCTCGAGAATTGACTATATTGATCACATTTCCAGTAGCTAGTGATAGTAACAGAAATAAATGAATATTAGAAAGTAAAAATGTTTTAGGCTTATGAATATCAAACCTCCCACACTTTCAAAAAGTATAATTTTGACAGAGAATTGCCATGAAGCTCTAGATTCTTATTTATGATAAAATTCCAATTTAATATTTATGTTTAATCATGAAAATAATACAAAGAAAAATTTATAATAACCAGATTATCATTTGACTTCTAAAGTGATAATTGGCTACAAGGGTAATCAGTCTTTTTGATGTTCAGAATCAGGTATGATATTTTTTTTTATAGGATAAGGGTGACAATCGAGCACACAGTTCACCTGATGGTAAGTGGTTGCTGCGGCCCATAGACATCTACATCTATCCTCTGTTACAAATCAAAATGTAGATGCGTTGTCATCCGTGAGGACTAAGATGGAATGCCTCATTTCCAGTAAAAAGGGCCTCCGGCCACCTGCACTCACCAAGCGAAACGCAGAGGTAAACCTCTACTTCACGCTGGTTTTCTGTGAGATTGTGGTACTACCCCGGTTCTAGCCAGCCCATCCGTGCGACAGCAAAAGCTGCCGCGTGGCTCTACCACTGTTGATACATCTACATTACTATGATGATGATACATCTACATTAAAATATGGTGGAGATTTTCAACCATGTCAATATGATGTGATGTCTGTAAAGGCCAGTTGCATAATAGTATATTCTAATAGGCATCAATACTTGTATAAATGTATTTTTGGCACTGACCTTCTCAGGCCTGATGTATAACAACATTTAAGAGATCTCTCCTATCCCTAATTTCTATTAATTTTTAAGTTTTTAGCATTGACCCATGAATAACCACTTCATTGTTGCCTTCAAAACAAACTTTCTTTACTGTTTGATAAAAACACATAATCTTTTTTTCTAGATTATAGATTTCAATCCACATCATTATTACGGTTTGGTGCATTGAAAATTTCAGAACTATAGTCAAGCTAGGAACAATGTTTGATCAGGGATCATCATCATCATTACTTAACTCCCATCAGGTCAATTGAAACCTCTACAATAGACAAGCACATTTTATTTTATGAATAATTCCTATGGTGTCTGCTAAGAAATCTTGTGTGATCTACACACGAGATTTCTTAGCAGATAGCAGGCAGCACAATTCTTCATAAAACTTTAGACAAATATTTACTACATTTAACCTTTACAGAAGTTTTGAAAGAAATTTCAAAACTTCTGCAAAGGTTAATCAATGTTTTGTAAACTGTTTTACATCATAAATTAATTTTGAGGTCTATTCCCCTGTTCAGAAAGAAATTAAAGCGCTTATTTTTAGTATTTTCTTGAAAATACAAAAATAATTAAACGCATAGATATTATTTACTTTGACAAAACATAAGTTATTTTATACATACCTTGAACGTTAATATGGCTGTTACTGCTACGTTTACGGTCTTTGTCTCCTTTCTTAGAAAAACTGTCTCCCTTTTTAGATTTAAAGAAATTGTTGGGTGACGGTATTTTCTTATTCTTTTTTGATTCTTGCGGTTCATTTTCCTCTTGGTCATCGTTACTTTGGTCTGCGTTATAATTATTGGTTTCTTGATTTCCATTTTCATTAAAAACTTCTTCGGTTTCAGGACGAGGTGGTCGTGGAATTGCATCTGACTTTAAATTACGAAAAATTTCAAATATTTTCGAACTTATAGTAGCCATTGTCAGATAATGTATATTTACGATAAATAGAATGATCAAAAAAAAAATTCTTGTAAATAAAGAATCAACATGTGTCATTCATTTGAATTTGATGTTTTTTTTATAACTGGCTTTACGGCTCTGGGTTCTAGCTCTTTTGAGCCTGAAGTTACAATGTATAATTATCTTTCGTAGTACACTGCTTCACAATATGTTGATGCGTCACATTGTGCAGCCCTTAGGAGATTTTGATGACAACTTGAGCCAGCAGACAGCTGACAGTTGGCGATGGTATCTCAAGGCGCCTAAGCAGACAGATATCTTATCTTGAGAATCACATCAGATACCTTATCTTGAGGAGCACTTGTTTCACCGTTTCCACTAAAAGTTTACATGCGCAGACATTTAATACACAAAAACACACCACTTTTATATATCAATCATCATCATTATTACAGCCCTTCACAAGTCCACTGCTGAACATAGGCCTCCCCCAAAGAATGCCACAAAGCATGGTCCTGAGCCACCTGCATCCATCGACTTCCTGCATATCTTACCAGGTCGTCACTCCATCTAGTGGGGGGACGCCCTACACTTCGCCTGCCGGTACGAGGCTGCCACTCGAGAACCTTTCTTCCCCATCGGTTGTCGGTTGTTCGAGCTATATGGCCGGCCCATTGCCACTTCAGCTTACTAATCCGTTGGGCTATGTCGGTCACTCTAGTTCTACTGCGGATATCCTCATTTCTGAGTTTATCACGCAGAGAAACTTCGAGTATAGCCCTCTCCATAGCTCGCTGATCCTTTATCTCTTCTTCCAGCTCCACAATCTTCTCGTCAGTCCTCAGGGTGCGTGCGTTGTATGTTGCCAGGTCGAGTCGTCGTAGGTGGCAACCGAACCTCCACCGGAGATTCTTAGCACCCCCTGCCCCGCCGTTACCATGGTCGCCACCGTAGCCAGGAATAGCGGGGCCGCCGGGGACTGGGGGCCGTCTCTTCGTTACTTTCATCATGGGGGGTATATTGCCATAGTTGCCACGCTTGGCGAGCGGGTTGGCAACCGCAGTTTTTTATTGTATTTTTGCCGTTACCAGGAAGATGCTGCTGCCCATCTCCTGCCTGTTTACCTTTGTCGCCTTTTACGACACCCACGGGAAGATATGGGGTAGTGGATATTCTTAACCGCCACTACACGGCAATTATATATCAAATTCCACTTCAAACCATTATTTAAACAATAATACAGGAGCAGCAATCCGCCGCCGTCAAGTTACCGCCAAAACTCCTGTCTCCTGTCATTTGATGTGTCACATTGGACTTGTAGGAAAACATCGATATATTTATATCGATATTTTTGGCGATACTTGACATTTTATATCGAAATAAAAGATTATTTCGATATAAAATGTCAAGTATTTAAAATGTATCAAATACGATATATTTCCAAAACCAACGCTGACTAAAACCCCTAGAATTCCGTAGAGAGAGAAAATTCAGATATAGTGATTTATTATTTGTAAAGTATATATTTTTTCGATATATTGAAACTGATACATATCAAAATTTTCTTAAAATGCAATAATTTTTGGCACAGCAAAGGTCTTAGACTATACAGCTTGGCCTGATTATATATTTTTCTTTACAAAACTCTTCATAATACGCTGATGTGTCACATTGCCAAATTCTTGGAAGATTTTTACGACATCATAACCTAGCGATCAGTTGATGACAATAATATCTCAAGGTATGTAAGCTAAAATAAAACTTGAGATTTACATCACAATCGAATTTTCACTAATAGTTTACATACAGAGACATTTATTACTCAAAATCACACCACTTTTACGTATCCAAATCTGATTTGAACCCGAAACCATTATAAAGCGTTATAAATGAGCAACAATACGACGGCGGTCAAGTTTCTACCGAAAAACATAGATTTTACTTAAAACGTTACACATAAATTAAAACGTCTAGAATTTTTTTTAAAGAAAAAAGGTGACCACCGATCACACAGTCCACCTAATGGTAAGTGGATGGTGTGGCCAATAGACATCTACATTTATCCTCAATTAAGAATCAAAATGCAGATTATGCAGATGCGTTGTCACCCCTGAGAACTGAGATGGAATGCCTTGTTTCCAGTAAAAAAGGTCTCCAGTTCTCTACACTCACCATACGAAAACACCATATGAAACTTCTATTTCACGCTGGCATTCTGTGATATTGTGGTCCTATCTCGGTCGAGCCGACCCATTCGTGCTACAACCATAATATAGCTGCAGAGTGGCTCTACCTAGTAAAATTCTATTTGTTCATTCGTAACAGACTCGCGCACAAATGTAGTTTAGCCAGTGTTAAGTAAAAGGAAATTATTATTAGTAATAATAACAATTTGTTTAAAAACCTGACCATAATATGTTGATAAATCTTATTGTGGAGTTTCTGAGAGATTTCGACGACGGGTTAAGTCACCAAACAAAAGATGCCGACAGCATTTCAAGTTCTTAAGTCTTAATGTAAAATAATTCATGAGCTGACTTAATAAATTAAAGTATTTATCAACATCGGAGCACTTGCTCGTAGTTTCTACTATTAAGTAGATCACATGCGCAGAAATTTTAATCACAAAATCACATCACTTTTACGTATCAAAATCCACTTCAAACCATTACCTTATCGAATCGATTCACGGCGTATCGACCGATGCACGTTGTACGTAAAAATGCTTTACAAATATGTAAATTATTGTGGCCTCACTAATAGTAGGTACCAGAATTTTTTTCTTTTTTTGCGTCCAGAAGTAGATAAAACAAACAAAAATCGATTCAATACTTCATATTATACAACAATAGGATTGCCATAATTTCCCGAGAATCCGTTGGGACATTTTGATGAGGGGAATTTTTGTAGGTGAAATAAAGTATAGAAACCGAAACGAATAGACACATTGGGAAATATTTATTATGGATTAGCAACCAACCCAGTTTTCGCCTGGATAGGATTTATTGAAGTTGCTTTATTTAGATTTAAGGTAATGAAAGACAAATTATTAAAAAAAAAGGTTTTTTCAAAAGGTCTCCAAGTTTTTCAGATAAATATAGGGTATGTCACACCAGGCAATGCTCTCTATCTGTTTGTGAAGTTTCATCACAATCGGTTCAACCATTCCGAAGATTACCCCGGACGGACAGACAGCCAAACAGACAGACGGACAGACACAGATAAAATTGTTTTTTTTTTATTAGATGATTTTACTTGGGATAACGAGGGAGGACAATCTTACTTTCAACAGTTGTCGCTAGTTGGGGCTGAGGTGAACATAATTGTCACGCAGATGGTCTCACAGTGTCTGTGTCATATGTAGTGTTTGCATATATGTAGTATACAGAAAATATTGTTATTTGTTTTATTTACTAATAATTTACCATGCACAAATACACAAACATACATTTATATATAAGTCACTGTCTCGAGCGCACCGCGTATTCGATATTTCCTGTATTTGGTGAATTATTCGATGTATTTACTTATTTGTGCAAATAAACCAAACTCCGAAATAAAAGAATAGCTCCTCCATACTCTGCCAAATTGTTATGTCTTTCAACTTCGCCGATCATTTGAGGCCAATATGGTACAGTACTAAATAACTTAATGTTACATTCTTTGCAGAAATATCGAAACTCTTCACTAACCAACTGCTTGCCATTGTCTGCGGTGATAGAAATAGGATAACCAAGTCTATTGAACATTTCTTTTACCATTTTAATAATCTGTAAGCTTGTGATGTTTTTGTAATTTTTTACTTCTTTGTATCGACTATAGTAGTCGACCACTACTAACAGATACTCGTTACTTGGCAATGGTCCCATTAGATCCATTGTGACATCTATCCATGGAGCTGCAGGCAACTCTCGTCTCTTCATTAGTGCAGTTGGGTGTGGCAAACTCACTAACGTACAACCTTTACAGGCCTTTACTAATTGTTCTACGTCTTTATCGATACGGGGCCACCATACCTTTGATCTCAAGCGTCCCTTCATCGCTACGATACCTGGATGACCCTCGTATGCAGCATCTAATACACTCTTGCAGAGTTCTTGTGGTATTATAATTTTATTTCCACGAAGTAGAATGCTATCATGGAAACACAACTAGTTTTCAAAAAATTTGTAACTCTTAATCGAATCGTCCCAGTCGTTCTGATAGACACCTTTTTCACTTTGTAAACCTCTTGGTCTTTTTCTGAATATGCTACTCTGGAACTTATTGGTATAGCAACTGGTCTAGAATTTTCCACTATTTGGTACACATGCTGGTCTTTTCCTTTTGGTGGGTTATCAGGATAGTTACATAATCGTGACAAGGGATCAGCTATATTTGTTTTTCCTGGTTTGTATACAACTTTGAATGAATAAGACTGTAGCCTCAGTACCCATCGTTCAATCCTCGCACATGGTTTTGACTTAGACCCGAACAATATCTCTAGTGGCTTGTGGTCAGTCACTAAATCAAAAGGCTTTCCAAATAAAAAATATTAAAATGTTCGACCCCCCTCCCCAAACTAATGCTAGTGCCTCTTTTTCCGTTTGGCTATATCTGCGCTCGCAGTCTGTCAAAGTTCGATTACCATAGGCAATAATTCTAGGGCCATTTGTATAATTTTGTACAAGGACAGCACCAAGTCCAACAGGGCCAGCATCTGCTATCACCTGTCTTGCATCACTGACGTCATAATACCCTAAAATCTGTATTTCCGTGAGCATCCGTTTGAGTTTTTGGAATGCTTTATTTTGTTCCCCAGACCATTGTTTTTCCAAGCTCTCCCTTTTGCTCACCTTCTGTCTTAGCAGGTGCTTCAGAAGTTCTGTCGTGGCGGCCAAGTTAGGTATCCATTTGTTTGTGTAGTTTAAGAGTCCTAAAAAACTTTGGAGTTCTTCTATGGTCTTTGGGACCCTAAATTTCATAATGCTCTCAACGTACTTGTTGAAGGGTTTACTCCATCATGTGTAAGCCTGTGTCCCAGACAATTCACATCTTGCATTTTATATATGCATTTATTGCTATTCAGCACGGCGTTGTTTTTACTAAGTACCTGTAGAACTTTCTTTAGTCATGTGTCATGTTCTTCTTCACTGTTCCCGAATACCAGGATATCATCAATAAAATTGACGACCCCTTCACAGTTTATCAGTATCCTTTCAATGATCTTCTGAAAAATCTCGGAAGCGCAGGTAATTCCAAGCATTATTCTTTTATATCTATATAATCTTTTGGGGGTTATAAAAGTCGTTATGTGTCTGGATCCAGAGTGATTTTCCACTTGATGGAAGGCATTTTTTATGTCTAATTTGTTAAAATATTTAGCTTTCTTCATTTTAGGCAAAAATGGTCCATAGTAGGCAGGGGGTGGTTTTCTCGCAATATAACGGCGTTCGTATATCTCATATCTACGCATTGTCTGCTATCTTCTCTAATCAGTGTAGTGTAACACAGGCTCGGCACGCACTTAACTAAACACGTCCACTCTCGCCCGAGGCTCTCGTGTTAACTGACGCGGTGCGCTCGAGACAGTGACTTATATATAAATGTATGTTTGTGTATTTGTGCATGGTAAATTATTAGTAAATAAAACAAATAACAATATTTACTGTATACTACATATATGCAAACACTACACACAGAAAAGTTGCGTTAGAAATAAAAGTTTTTCGGTTTCTAGTGTATGCATATACACAAAACAATGCCGCAGTGCTGTTATTTAATTTTATATATTATTATCTTTTTTTAATTCTTATTTTAGGGTTATCTGTAGTTGGTTTATCCATTTCTAATTTTATGAATTTAAAATTTAAGTAATATTTCAGAAACAAACATTAATCTCTACACTTCACCTCGTTCCTAAATGCATCGTGCATTGTGCGTGCCGCCCTGGTGACAGAAAATCAAATAGCCACGTTGAATTCCAAGCGATCTCATTCTTCGGCCTCTCCGCTAGGAGTAAAGTATTCTGTGCTTCGGTCATTCGGTCCACTGCAAGGACATCAATGAAAATGCTTTAGCGTGTTGTGTGTTAGTTGGATTGAAAAGTCATATTGTAGGGACATTTTACAGCTTGTCGGGACAGTGAGACACACATCGTTAATAACGGTGACATGTCTCGACGTATCGGAACGAATGGCAACTACTACAGTAATATGTAACACAGCTGGACATGGGCTTCTCCCATATTAAAGTCGTGATCGGTCCATTTTCAATCACACTACCAAATGTATTATTTTTGATGCTGCTTATGACTATTAAAGATAAAAATTGAATTGTTATACCGCCGGTTATAGGAAGCTACAAGATGTTTGGAGAATTTCCCATTTCCTGTAACGTCACGTCACGTTACTGGTACCGTTATTTATCGCAAGCCATAAGATTTTTCCGTCACCTCATACGATACCCGCAGAACAAGTGGCTGATGCTACATTCGAAGCTACATTCGAAGCGTCGGTAGTTAATATTATATACGGTTTAGTCGAATCCGGGTATTGTAGTAGTGGAAAACTGGTCAATATTTCTTTACATTTATGAAAAACATTTATATAATTTTGGTTTTCAATTATCTTATTCCTTTTCTTTAAACACGACGTTAAGGGGTGCGTGATTTTCGCAAAGTCCTTTATAAATTTTCTATTATATCCAACCAGCCCAAGGAAACTTTTGATTTCGTTGGTTGTCTTAGGAAGAGGATAATTCTGTATTACTTTTATCTTGTCATCGTTTGGTCGCAGTCCGTCTTTAGTTATATGTCCAAGATATAAAACTTCTTTTCGGAAAAATTTAGATTTGCCTTATTGTATTTTCATGTCTATTACAGCCTCTAACTGCTTTAATAAATCATTCCCAATTAACCCATCATAACGTGAATCGACATTATAAAGATAAAATTTACGCTGCCTCCACTTGGCATAATTGTAAACATTATTTTGTTCTTATCTCCCTCTTTTCTAAATACAGGTTTCACGGCGTTACTCAGGAAAGAACCTGAGCGTCGGTAGGTACGCTCTTGATGAAGTTTTATTACTTGTAATAACTACTAATAACTTTTTTCATTCACTTATCATTTATAATTTAGCATAAATTGTTGGTTTTCGGATCTCACTAGCTTGATGTCCAACCAATCACTACCAGAATGAAAGCAGCTGGTATAACTAAATCGCACTACAGGTTTTGTTGTAATTGGGTCAATGACAATCTCTCATCGTGTTAGCGTTATATTTTCATGTGTAGGTTAAGACGAGTAAGTGAGCCTGTGCTTGCAATATACTCGTATATACATTAAGCCCGGTTGTGATACGTAAGGGCTCATACGCACTACGTGGGTAACCACAATGCGGCTAGCCGTCCGGCTGACCGCAGGATGCGGTTGTGAATGCATCCAACCTGATTGTTGGCAGCCGTATTCGCAAACGCAACCTATGGTTGAAGAACCGTTGCGATTTCCGGTCATAGGCATTGCGGGTAACCGCATAGTGCTTATGAGCCTTAATATTTTATATCACACTTGATAGTGTACGATTACTCCGAGATTCCGAGTTTATTGAGGTTGAGAATCGGCCAGTAGGACATCATCATTATTCTATTTTCAAAGATATTTGACAAAGTAATTGTCATTTTTGACTTGTGATTAATAATGCTTTGGAAATATTTTTATATGTATACTTGTGTTTATTTTTAGTAATTAGTAATGGATAACTACACACCATTGTCTCTTACTAATCTTTTTAAATTAGTCCTTTTTCAAACGCTTTATGCAAAAAGTGATTCAAATCCGAGTTCTAAGCAATGCTCTCCAAGAAAAGAGGTGCCTTGTGCAGCTAAACATGGTGCTGGCGACGCCCCTCCCCTGCCGAAATGTACTTGCAACACACCGAAGACTCCAACTTGTACCGTTGGTGATCGTGGTAAAACTGGGGCTGGTGTTGCCGGTTCGCGTACAGGAGATAGAGAAGGCAATGTTGATAAAAGATCCGACGATCTACCGACTGGTGCTGTGAACCCTGGTCTGCTTCGACATATACACAATGCTGCTCGATATAGACTACCGCAATGCTTTGAGGGCGCTTGTGTTTCTCTAAAACAAAGTTCAAGTAATAACTGGGTTTTCGGTCATTCATTATCATTCAGTTCAGTTTCCCCTGGTGGTTACAAAGTGCTGTTATCATATGCGGACAAAGAGAAACCAACTGCGTTACCCTATTTTGTTATGGAAGCAGCTCCCGGTGGACAAATGAGTTGCGAGTTCCGTGTAGGTCCAACACAAGCTACGCGGGCAACGCTTGTAGCACAGATCGCCAATAGCGAGATAAATAGCTTCGAATCTATAATCGATGCATATTTTAACAAATTTACAACCTCCGTAATCGCTGTGAATCGAGAATTTATAGCTTTGCATTATTTACAGGTATGTTTTTACATGTATGCATAATAACAACATAATTTATATCTAGAAAATAATTCATATTTTAACTAATATGAATACTATACTAATAAATAATACATATACCCAAATACCATACAGATATTTCCAAATTTAGTTAATTACGTAACAATAACAATGCACATAATAAATTGCTGCTAGCCTAGGCTGCACACCAACAGACATTGGAACCTCAAAGAGAGGATATTTGCTGTAGTTTCCAGTCTTGGCAGGCGCGTTGTCAACCTTAGTTTTTTTATTATTTTGAGTTGTTATTAGTTGCTGCTGCCCATCTCCTGCTTAAAGCCCTTCTGTTTTCTCTTACGACATTCACTTCAGGAACAGATAGAAAGCATCTTGACTATATTTTATTCCAACAACATACAGGATTTTTTTAAAACGAAAATCTGATAAAATAAATGGTTTTATCTAAGATTATATATCTCTAAAAAGCTTGGCGTGCTCAGCAGAGCGGGACAGTATTTCATGCCGGCACACCGCCTGCTACTTTACAAGGCGCAAGTTCGGGCTCACATGGAATACTGTTCCCATCTCTGGGCAGGGGCTCCCCAGTGCCAGCTCCTTCCACTTGACCGCATCCAACGCAGAGCGGCTCGAATTGTCGACGACCGAGCCCTTTCCGATCGGCTCGATTCATTGGCACTGCGAAGAGATGTTGCATCCCTTTGCATTTTCTTTCGCATCTACCATGGGGAGTGCTCTGAGGAATTGTTCGGATTAATCCCAGCCGCCAAATTTCACGAACGCACATCGCGGCAGAACATATATATATATATATATATATTATATATATATATATATTTAAGAAAACGTTACCCCCACTATATACTATATAAGTGCTTAACTTTTTGGGTGAAAATGCATCTGCATTTTAATTCTTAATAGAGGAGTTATAGAACAGTTGTTAAAGATAACTGATTATTTTTCCAGGCGTTGACGGATCGCATATCGGTCGGAGCGGAGGTTGTGGCACGCGGTCGTGTGGCTGAAGTAAGTGCAGCTTCAGCTGCAGCCCGGTGGGCTGGAGAGCAACACTCATTAAGTGGAACTCTTGGCAACCGTGGCCTGGATCTCTGCTACGCGCGGGCTCTGCGGCCCTATCTTACGGCCGCTGCTATGCTCGAGGTAACTAGATGTCCTTACATGCTAATGAATCTGTGTACAAACTAAATATAAAATATACACTGAAGCAGGTATTCGGAATGCACGATTCTGCATTAGTGTGCTGCAGTCCTAAGTTGTCGCTCAAAATGTATGCCACACGAACCGCTACGCCATACACAACGCCAAACACTACACAAGGCCTGACGGTTAGATATTGTTTTGTGATGAATGTTCGAGTCTTTTTTTTTATAGGATAGGGTGACAAATGAGCACACAGTCCACCAGATGATAAGTGGTTGCTGTGGCCCATAGACATCTACATCTATCCTCGTTTACGAATCAAAATGCAGATGCGTTGTCACCCGTGAGGACTAAGATGGAATGCCTCTTTTCCAGTAAAAAGGGTCTCAAGCGATGCCTTTGGGTGCATGTATCTTTCTCACAATACATATAAAAATATTTTTAATTTTATGGGTAAAATATGTTGAAGAAATATACGAAAAGATAAGTGAATTCCTTTCTAATATTTTGCCCAATGCACTATTACATAAGTAAATAATTTGTAAATATACGTAACGAAACGTCAAAAACAAAAATTGCATTAGGAACTTAATTGAAAATTGTCGTGGAGATCGACATCATAGCGTTAGAACATTCCTCGAAATTTTTAAATTTTATTTAGCTTATACTATTTTGATACAGAAAAATTTGAAATTACATCACTTTATTGATACATGTTACAATTAAGTTCTTTCCAACATCACAGAATAAATAATAGCCAACATGACCAATATAGATTAGTAATTACTGTATTTAACGATTATGAATATTTTTATAGTATTCTAAAAACAAATTGTTGGTTTTCGAGTTCGGTTGTAATGGAATTGTCTCCGTGTCTGTAAAATCACCAGAGCAACTCCCTTAAAACTTAAAATACGTTGCCTGCTTATTGAAGTTATACTTAATTTATGTAAGTTAGTACATACAACTACTTCTTCATAACGTACGTAGCGACGAACAACTCAAGCAAGGTACATGCGATGCAGCGCTATTGTGCTTGATTTAGATTAAGTTTAACGAACATAACTTCCAACAAACATTACCTATACACCAGCGCTCTTTTACAATTAGATTAACCACGCTGTTAACTTTACTAATATAATGATTTAGAACAATCCGCCTGTCCAGCGTGTTGTGGTTTCAAGTTATGCAGTTCTTTTTTTAAGTTTTATCTGGACAAAGTTGCGAGTTAAAGCTGGTTATTAATATTTTTAATACTAAGGTTATATATGCTCTGTGTTCACCATCTCATCGGTCTAGTGTGGTGAGTTTGAGTATATCTTCCAAATAAACTCACAGTTTTGTATATCACGAGACATAAAAACGAATAAACGATATTAAATTTAAGTGATCCTTTCATCTGCTTTTAGGTCGGTTTCGCGATTCGCAAAGCAGTTGCAACTTTAGCGTACGAATGGCGTGCTGACGATTGGACTGTACGTGGTTCCGTGGACTCTGACGGTCTAGTTGGAGCCACTCTCCAGAAAGCTCTAGGAGGAAAGAGAGCTAGAATAGCTTGTGCGATTTCTGCACTTCTCAACCATCCTAACGACAAATTTAGACTTGGTTTCGGTGTTACGGCAGCTATTATATAATTTGTTAATGTCGACGTTCTACTTTAATAGTTTGAGCAAAGTGATCTTAATGGAGGCATTAAAACAAGCACTAGATATTAATTTGGAAATATTTATATAAAATGATGATCTAAATGAGGACTCTGCGAAAATAATTTCTGGAACACTATTTATATTGTGATATGTTATTAAAAGTTTATTCATGTGCGATTTGATTGTAAAATCTTTATAAGAAATTTATAAAATCATTATAAGAAAGCATTTTTTGCTAGCTATCGTTTTAAAGAAATAAACATAACCGGCTTTTTATTATTTATTTTTCATTGTTTTTAATACTTTGCGATAAAATGTAAATGTATTATAATACATAAAACTTTATGGATAAATGAATTTGACGTCTTTTTTTTGATCCACACATTCTTCAGCATTGTATAATCTGTTAAGAAGATAAATATGCAGTAACCGCTAAGCTGAGCTTTTTCATATTTAGTATTTCCAAAAACAATAATGTAGGTGTGTCTTGAGGACTTAGTTCACAGATTAGATAAAAGAGGTGCTTGTATGTAGATATCTTTTGTCCGTCTTTACTCCCTCAAATGTTATTTGAATTTAATTGAATTGTTAGAACTTTATTTTACTGACCCTCATATGTACATCTATGGCACAGTGCCTTTCTATTGATATAAGCTTCATTCTCCTTTTACAATAAATACTAAAAAAAGGTATGGCAATTTTCGATGCTTATGTATTGATATAATAATTATTTGACAGCAGTTCTTCCCCAGTCGTTAATTTTTTTTATAGGGCAAACAAGCATGCCGCTGATCTGATGGAAAGTGTCCATATAACGCAACTATTACCGTAGGTATAACTTATACTAACTTTAACTTTAACTTATACTATATAACGCCAATTAAAATTGTTATTATTCACTTACAAAATATTAATTGAAGTGCAAATATTCCACGATATGTAGGACACAAAAATTTGATTCAAAGTTCTTGATTAAAACGTAATATTCAATTCTTCTTCTACTTTCTTAATGAGCCCGTAATAGCCAATTGCTGAAGATGAGCCTCTCCCGTTGTAGCAATGTGTGCCTTAATCACCACGCTGGGCTGGCTGATGGTATGATATATGTATCCCACTATCGACACTGTCTTCTACTCGTCGAGTATATTTTAATATAATGAATTAAATATTGGAAATCACTTCCGTTTGAATCAAAGCAAGGCACAAATAAGGTAATTTTATAAATGCAAACAACAGCTATAAAATCCCGGTCCAACACTGCCAACACTGTGTAGCACAATAGGTACTTTATGTACGACTAAGTGTTCATAATAAGGTTTACTAAGGTATAGGTATATTTACTAAGGTATAGTATAGGTATAGGTAGTAGGTAAGGTAATAACTATTAATTAATATTAATAACAATAAATATACACGTAAAATAGGTACCTACAAACACTTTACCAAGAAACATCAGAGAAGACTGTTAAAAATTCATTTCCAATATTACGATAATGTAGGCGTATATTATCCGCCGACGGCGATGTCTGTGCTTCACGTCTTGAAAGCCACATGTAGGGCGGGCGCGTGCGCGAGATTTGGGCGGGGATTGTGGCCGCCCTTATGAAGCATTTATGCAATTTTAAACTTAAGTATAGTAAATTTAGAACTGATAATAAGGTTGATATCGTCAGGATGATGAAGTGTAGGCGTGAGAACCGCCTTCAATGCAGTGTGTGCTTTAGAGCGTGGTGAGTGATGGCCGTGCGCGGTGACGCGTGCTCGGGGCAGTAATGGTGATGGAGCGGCTGGCGGACTTCGTCAGCAAGTCACTGGAGGGCGGTGAAGCGCCCACACCGCCACCTGAGCCCGGAGAACCTGATGGTGACGAGGAAGTTGATATCACAGCACTCGAGGAAAAGTCGCCGCCGGCTAAAAGGCCGCGAAATTGGCTCATCTCGCCAGTACCCTCAAGGAATTGTAAGAAGGAAGCGGATGATGAGGACGAACCTAGACAGGGTATGTATTTATTTCCTAATGGCATCACAATATTGTGTAAAATATTACGTTGAAAAATTCATGTGTTCTAATAAGCGATAATAAAAAATTGTATCTTTATTATTTACATACATTATTTTTAAGTGACAAACACCTTTAAGTCAATCGTAATTCAATGGGGAGTTTATCATATAAACTTTAAGTGAAGCTGAAATAAGAATAAGTGATTTTATGTGACTAAATAAGAAGTGTAAATTTACAACATTTTAAGGACAAAATAAAAAAAAATAGAATAAAATTCTAAGCAGTGTAAGTCAAGGTTTCGCTGTGCGTTATTCTATTGTTATTCCAAAAATTATTAGATTTTTTAAGTTTATTTGTGTTGTTATGATTTTAGTTGCATTTTTAAAAAGCGGGGTTACGTGAGGTATTAGGAAATATGTGGAAGATTATATTGAACATATTGAACGCTCACTGCATAGGTATTAAGAACAGAATGACCACCTCAGCAGCCAATAGTATAGGTTCCGGTTAACTGGTCGTTAGCGTATGAATCACTTATTGCAGGCAGTCGCAAAATTAAAAATAAATGCAGGTTGATTCCTTTTTTTTTCTTTCTTAATTAAGGGACTTTCGTTATTTTTAACATGTTAGTCCCGTTGCACCTTTTAATTAAAAATAAACACAAAACAAATAATTAAATTATTTGTACAATATACTAAACGATACACCATTTGAGCAGCACCTGCCTATTTTATGAGATTCAAAGCCTCTAAAGTAGGAGTAGGTATATCACTTTACCGCAAAAATTGGCTCCTATTTTCTGAGCTATCTATAACGACTTCTTCAGCTGTTACGGGGTAAAATTTTCTCCAACCTTAATTCTAGGCGGTACACAATATCTAGAGTCAGACCAACCCCAAGAATGTGAAACTTCCTTGCAAAGTCGGAATTTCAAGACGGAATAGCTCCTTACTTTATATAGAGCATAAGACCTGTCGTGCATGGAGTACTGCTGCCACATATGGGTTAGTACTGCAAAGCCACCGCAACATCTTAAAATTGAGTAGCGTTTAAATATTTGGCCATAAGCCCAATTGCCACAACAACGAAATAATAAGCGTTTTTTGTCCCTGACAGTACCCTAAATGGTATTAGTACTCGTATTTTGTTATCGTAATCACATTGTATAATCCACTGACGGCTGATCTCTATTATACAAGTACGCTAACCTAACTTAACCTAAACAAAAATCGACGCTGCACTGTGTTAGTCTATCTATAGGAGGTAGGTACTCATTCGACTGTATTTTTTATTTTATGTGTGCTACCTCCTTACCTCATAACCTTTTTGTAGGAGAACCGATTTTGATGTTTCTTTTTTATTTGAAAGCTGATGCTTCATGTGGTCCCATATAAATTGATTAAGGTCTGACCAGTAGTTTTTAAGATATCCTTAATAATTTATATTGAAGTCGGTTGTACAAAACTTTTAATTTTACCACTTTTTCTTCGTAACTATAGAACTGGTTTTTTCACTATTGGGTATGTATGATTCATTCGCGAACTTTAAAAAGGTCTAATGAGTAAGAAAAACCGGAGTAGGTAACTACAAAAAAAGATAGTAGATTTTATAGTTATCCATTAATTTAGTTCTCGTAATAGAGAAAATCAATAAGCTGCCTATTTCAACAATATCTATAGGTACAATTAGAATTTTACAAATTTTAAGTGCTTTTTAGTCGCTAAGAGACTCTCTCGGTTTTAGGTTGTAAATAGCTGTAATGGCCCTCTTCTGTAAAACTAAAATAGTTTCTGAATCAGCCGCATTTCCCCATAGCAAAATCCAATAAGACATTGTGCTATGGAAATAACTGAAATAAACTAATCTAGCCGTCTCGACACTAGTGAGACCTCTAACCTTTTTTACAGCATAGGCTGCAGAACTTAGTCTGCTTGCTGGTTTGGATATATGGGGGCCCCACTGAAGCTTTTCGTTGAGAGTGATGCCAAGAAAACAGTGGATTCAACATGGCTCAGTTCTTCCACATTTAAAACACATTGGCATTCAGATTCTTAACATTCGATGTTGTAAACTTAATACATTTAGTTTTATTTCCGTTTAAATGTAGATTATTAACGTTAAACCAATGCGCTAATTTTGATATAGCATTATTCACTTAAAATAAATAATACTATATCATGATTATCCACAACAAGGGACGGTAAGTCATTAATATACATTAGAAATAGGAATGGGCCGAGAATCGAACCCTGAGGGACACCCATTAGTACAGATGACCAGGACTTTTACCATTAATAATAACTTTGTGGATTCTATTACTTAAATATGAAATAATAAACTGCCCCATAAGTCTGCCGTTTTCTTAACATCAACAGTTTTAAAATATTTAACGATGTCATTTGGCAATACTCTATGGAATTTAAAAGTATTTGAACAAGCCTTTACATTTTGTTTAAGCAATGATTCGGCGACAGTAGGAGAAGAATCTAATGATTTTGTTGTCAAAAAAGGAACATCAGTAAAATGTTCTTGATCAGATCGAGTTAAATTATTGTTAATATTCAAATGAAGATCCGAGTTGCGCGGACCTTGCTCGTTTCACTTTTTATTATTCTCGAGTTCATTTTAACTTTGTAGGATGCAGTTGTAATTTTGTTGCATAAATGCAAAGCCTTAGCTGTGGAGCAAACTTTTTTAAATATTTTAGAATATGTTTTTACATAATCTCTAAATATAACACTATTATTATTATATGATCTTTCATTATCAAGCTTAGAAGTTGAGATTATTATATATATATATATTTCCATTTTTTGTCAGTTTGTAAAAAGGAGTTGAAGTACAATATGAAATAATAGGTACATTTTGATATGTTTATCATGCAATGACATTAAATATTTTTTTTTATAGGATAGGGTGACAAACGAGCACACAGTCCACCTGATGGTAAGTGGTTGTTGTGACAACATAGACATCTACATCTATCCTCAATAAAGAATCACAATGCAGATGCGTCGTCACCCGTGAGGACTTAGTTGGAATGCCTATTTTCCAGTAAAATGGGTCTCCGGTTCTCTACACTCACCATACGAAACACAGCAGTGTCAGGCTGCCATTTTACGCTGGTATTCTGTGAGAGCGTGGTCCTTCCCCGGTCGAGCCGACCCATTCGTGCTACAACTATACTACTAATATAGCTGCAGCATGGCTCTACCACGCATAAATATGTATCATCATCATCATTACAGCCCTTCACAAGTCCACTGCTGAACATAGGCCTCCCCCAAAGAATGCCACAAAACACGGTCCTGAGCCACCTGCATCCATCGACTTCCTGCATGTCTTACCAGGTCGTCACTCCATCTCGTGGGGGGACGCCCTACACTTCGCCTACCGGTACGAGGCTGCCACTCGAGAACCTTTCTTCCCCATCGGTTGTCGGTTCTTCGAGCTATATGGCCGGCCCACTGCCACTTCAGCTTACTAATCCGTTGGGCTATGTCGGTCACTCTGGTTCTACTGCGGATATCCTCATTCCTAAGTTTATCACGCAGAGAAACTCCGAGCATAGCCCTCTCCATAGCTCGCTGAGCGACCTTGAGCTTCCTCATACGGCCAGCAGTGAAGGACCACGTCTCAGTTCCGTAAGTCATCACTGGCAACACGCACTGGTTGTACAATTTCGTTTTAAGGTTTTGAGGTATGTCTGACGAGAAGATGTGTCGTAGCTTCCCGAACGCTGCCCAGCCGAGTTGAATCCGTCGATTGACCTCTCGGTCGAAGTTGGACTTACCCAGTCGGACTATTTGTCCCAGGTAAACATACTCGTCAACAACTTCGAGCTTAGTGTTCCCAACAACTACCGGCATAGGTGTGACATGGACATTAAACATGATCTTAGTTTTGTCCATGTTCATCTTAAGACCTATCCGTTGGGAAACATTATTGAGGTCATTGAGCATAGTGCTTAGGTCCTCCAGCGATTCTGCCATAAGGACTATATCGTCGGCAAATCGAAGGTGAGTGATGTACTCGCCATTGATGTTGATACCGTATCCTTTCCAGTCCAGAAGCTTGAAAACGTCTTCCAATGCAGCGGTGAAGAGTTTCGGGGATATGACGTCACCCTGTCTTACACCTCTCTGCAATTGGATAGGTTTCGTACTCTGGTTCTGTACTCGGATAGCCATCGTAGCCCTACTGTACAAGCACTTCAACACTTCGATATACCGACAGTCAACTTGGCACCGCTGAAGGGACTGCAGCACCGCCCAAATTTCGACGGAATCAAAGGCTTTCTCATAGTCCACATACGCCAGACATAGTGGCAAATTGTACTCTTCGGACTTCTGTACAACTTGCCGAAGGGTATGTATGTGGTCTATGGTGCTAAAGCCCTTTCGGAAACCGGCTTGTTCGGGAGGCTGGAAGTCGTCAAGTCTGCGCGCGAGACGATTCGTAATGACTCTCGAAAACAGCACGTAGACGCGGCTCAGAAGGGAAATCGGTCTGTAGTTCTTCAAGAGAGCGTTGTCACCTTTCTTGAAGAACAAGACCACCGCACTTCTGCTCCACGCCTCCGGTGTAATGCCACCATGGAGGACGGAATTAAAGAGCTTCTGAAGGACTTCAAGTACCGGTCTTCCACCCGCTTTCAGAAGCTCCGCTGTAATTCCATCCTCGCCTGGGGCCTTACCGTTTTTAAGGTGCTGGAGAGCCATCCTAATCTCGCTCAGACTGACATCCGGGATATCTTCGGAATAGTGTCGGATGAGACTCGCTCTTGGATCGTTACTCACACTTGCGTGTGGCTCCAACGATGATGTGTACAGCTGCCCATAGAACCTCTCAATCTCACTCAAAATCTCAGGTGTCCCGGAAACGATGCTGCCACATTCTGTCTTCAGCTTTGACAGTTGGCTCTTTCTGGCAGACAGATCTCTGGCAAAGACTTTGGAGCCTTGGTTCCGCTCGATCGCTTCTTCAATACGAGCTGT